TCTTTCTTCATCCATGACTTAAACCAACACGCTCTTCTACTAAGCATAACAATTATAAACTTCACAGGATCGGATTACTACCAGCGTGCAAGGGGTGGCGAGCTAGTTTGCCAGGTCGCTTCACGGTTTTTCTGAGCCTCAATCTCCTGCTCGCCCCTGGCCGTTTCGAACTGGAAGAGTCTCGTAAAACAGTGTGTTCGTGCACAATCACTACTGCTTGATGCAGGTTTTTCTTTCTCAAGGGATGTGCTAACAGATACTGGCATCTGCTCCAAAAGCATCAGTGACTGCTCCAAACCAATATTTTGCCTGCTACAGAACCTGCTACAAAAGGTCAAATGCTGCTTCCATCACTGCATATATGACATTTGCACTTCCTTTGCATTTGGCTCGTGCAAAGTATGAACAGACACGAGATTTTACAAGAAGCGAAAGTATGCAGGAGAGCTGGTTAGAAAACATAATCTAAACCCTGAGGTACGGAGAAATAAAATGACAGACAAGACGGCCAGCTAAGTAAGTGTCCAGGATGAACCATGCGCTTTGCCAGTTGCATTTCTTTAGGGTGTGATTATATTGACGTTTTCCTAATATTCATCTGAGATGGTGCCTCATAACAAAATAATGGTGCCTCGTAGCAAAGTTCACTTCATGTAAGCTTGAAAACAGGCAGCCATCAAGAGTACTATGTGAGAGGGTTAAGGTGAAAAGCCTCAAATCATATTAAGTAGCACTCACTTTGTTTCCGCTTACTACTGATCGTTTTGAGATACAGTAGCTGGACGAAGAAATGGAATTGTGATAAGTGCACGTGCAGGTGGGAAACATGGTGAAGCTCTTTAACCTGGAGGGAAACTTTAGTTGTATTTGAGGGGCTTTAGCATTGCTTGCCCGATGAAAGCTTCTGGTGAATTTAAGTTTTTTTTTTTTCTGTACAAAATTGTTAACATATGGAGTCTGCAACTCCGTCGTGAAATATTAGAGTGAATGTTTATTATGCCGTGCTTTTTCCTTATATATAGTTCCTTTGGAAGCATTGTGTTTTTGTAACCTTTATGCGGATGTGTCAGAGTACAGAGTTTACACAGATGTTCCTCTGTTTCATCCCTTTTTACTTTATTTACTATCGCCCTTTTATTGTTAGGTGACAACTGTTTTTTTTTATTTGTGTTATCTTCTGATAAGGTGTCTGTCTGCTTTTTTCTTTTTGTTCAAACCACTGCTGCTACTTTCACATCAGGGAGGCATGTCTGACATTAGAAAAGCTTGTACCTTTCAGTGCAGGTGCACATTTATAACTTATCTGTGTCCACATGTGGAAAACAATTTGGCGACTAGGTATTTTTTTATGTCTAGGTAATTTTTTTATGTTGCAGTCTTCACACTTTTTGAATCAGTCTACAAAATAATTGCATTATGTTCCAAAATATAAGCCACATTTTTTGTTTTTTCAAAAATTTTCGTCAGTGGTTTTTATAGAACGGTGCAACTTATATAAAGTGACCATATTCCTCAGGCCCCAAATTGAGAAGTATATCAGGGAGGGTATCATGTTGGGGAGACTTTTTATTATTTCACACTTTTTTTATAATTTCATACACACCATGCACATTTTGTTCCCCCGCAATTCGCATACTGTTTGGCATGGACACCTGATACATTTGGTTGGAATATTTTTTTAGTGTTAATATATTTATTTTTGTAGGTACTGTGTCCGTGGTACTGTTCACACGTCGTACGCGAAATTCACCTTCGGCATCAGCATCGATCTTCTCTGCCAAGCACATTTATTTGCAATTCGGGGGAGTTAAAGCGATACAAAACACCCACCGTCTCACGAGCACGCTGGCGGGACAGTGTGCTTGTCCCGCCTAAATTGGGGCGTCTAATCATTTGAAACTTGCGCACATTTTTTAAAATATAAATACATAGCTTAACTGTGCAAATTTGCCAAAGGGGTTATGTTTCACTTTAGGTTTGTTGGCGAGAATATTAAAACTGGCTGTCGCCTGCGCCGAAGAAAGAATCGGGCAGTGAGAAGCATGAGCACAATAAAGCCACTCCGTTCTTATATGGCAGTGAGAACGACAGGGCTTATGATGTTCATGCTTCTCGCTGCCTGATTTGTTCTTCGGCATTCATAACGAGTAACGCCGCAATCTCATTGGCTGCGGCGTGATAATGGAAAGCGTGCGACCAGACAGCAGCGCCATGGTGCGGCTCCTAACAGAGTCATTTGGTGGGAACATCAGTTAAATCAGCGCGCTCGTTTCAGGTATCGCACGCTCCCTAAATCACAATCACAATATACATTACGGGGGCTTTTCATTGCTGTTTTGCCGCGCTAACAATGCAGATATATAAGTGCGACCCATAAAAAGGTGTGACTTATAGACCGGAAAATATAGCAATTAGACACTTGAATGTCGAGGGACTGTGACTGGTTTATATCATTACTGTAAGAGGTAACTACAACATTTCTTTATAGAGAAATATTTGTTTTGCGGACATAGAAATTAACTTGTCATTTTTAACTTTTCTAAAGAAGCATCATGGTTCCTCTACCAGGGAAAACAAAACACCAGTTATTTAGAGGGTGTCTACATGGTATACAAGCAAAAAGAAATGTGAACTTTAGAAGAAAAAAAAAAATCTTTATTTTGCAATTTTTGAGGGGAAGGAAAAATCATACTTGTGGTTTCTAGGCTAGGTGGTGCAAGCTACCACCCATTTTAAAGGTACAGTCGTTAGCATCCATCCATTCATCCATCCAGTAGAACCTGAGTCTTTTTTCCTTGAGGGACGGGTGGGTGTAGGTAACGTTCCTAGATAACGCTATGTGAGGTAGCAACAAGCCTTCCTCCCCTGCCTTTCTCCCCTTACTTCTGTCGTCTGCTAGCGCGCTGTCTGCCATGTTTTACCTAACTTGCCCACCCTGGGTGTGTATGAAATCTTCCGAGTTACTTCGGCGGGGTCATGTCACGTGACAATCCAGGTAGGACAATGCTGGACGTGGGTAGGTTTTCGAATGCCAAGGTACCAAACCGTTACTCTAGAGTGAGGTTGAGTTAAATCTGCCATGTTCTTCCTAACCGGAAACGTAACGCGGGCACAAGCCAATGGGAGAGCGCGTCGGCACATCAGTCGCTGTCACTACTTAGCAAAGCGTTTATTGAGGGAACTTAGGTGTAGGTAGGGCTCGGGTCAGACCAAGCGCCGTTAACAATGTTTAGCAGCACAATTACTTTCGCATGGGTTGGGGCCAATGTTGCTGCTCTCATGAACTTGATGATGTCTCTTTGGATTTTAGATAACAAAGCTAGTTTGTGTTATATTGATGGCGCCAGCTTGCTTTCTCTCAAATCCTCTTGTAAACCTTTTTGCGTGGGCATCACACTTTTGTTCATGTAAGCGTTTGTGCAAGTTTGTGGAAGTGTAATATCTAATTTCAGGTATGTTTTTAAGTACAAAAGATGGAATGAACTGTGTCGATTGGAATAGTAGTGACAAGTGTTGGGCAGAAAAATTGACTCTGACGGGGAAAAAGGTTCATACTTTAGATGAATATATAGAATCATATCAACACTTGCATTGTGGTAAAATGAGCCAGAAAAATTAGTACCTGCACCCGGCAGGTTAAACTCTTTGTTGGAGGCATATTTTAGTAATCTGTTGTGCATTAGAAATTTCGAAGCACGTCTACTGTGTTACTGTAAAAAAAAAAGAAGGAATTAAAACTTTCTTGGAAAGATTTGAATGTCGAGCTTAAATGGAAATGGCCAGCTGTGATGTTGAATCCTATTACGGAGGAACGGCGCCAGATGTTTAAAACAACAGCAGACGACGCGGGCGAGAGCCTTTGGCAGTGCCTTCTTTTCACAGCTGTGTTTACCTTTATTATATTCGAAATTCCCAGCTTTAGCCTCGCCGTGCATATTTAATTTTAGACACGAGTTGCATTACAAGATTAGCTCAAGTTTTATAGGCTGCGCCTGTCGGTGTCATTTTTGAAGCATACCTCTTATAGAAACACGGAGGATTGGAAATGGCACGTGCTTGGTGCCATTTCCCGATAGGAATGCCCAACAGGTGTGTCGGCCATCTATCTACGTCCGAACCCAGCATTGAAATGTTCAGGCATTCCATTCTCATTTGTTTGCAGGGAGGGCAGGAATTACGCCTATGCGCGTAGAAACTGAAGGGGAGGAGGAGATGAGAGCACGCGGGGACGTCAAAGCGCCAAGTTCTGGTTGGAACGATTAGTAGGTAGATGCAAAGCTAGCAGCTGCCTTTGTCTCTACGGAGCGTTCGAACGTGGACGCCGAACGTCGGATGCCGGCGCTTGACGTTCAAATGCGTTCGAAAAGTGAGTAGAGACAAGGGCAGCTATCATACTCAGTCTCACTAAAGCCGTGCAGTACAGCCATAACAACAGGGGAGAGAGAGTATTCTGACCTGTTTCAGAGGAGGGAAAGAAAGAACAAAGGAATCCCAACCCTTCTCTCTTGTTCCTCCTTTCCCTCTTGGACAGGTTGGCATACACTCTCTTCCGTGCAGCTTTGGCTCTACTGCACGGTTTTAGTGAGACGGAGTATAGCTTTGTGTCTACCCACGAATCATTCCAACCAGAGCTCGGCGCTCTGGCGACCCTGCATGCTCTCATGTCCTCCTCTCCCTCATTTTGGACCCAAACAGTTTCCCCAAGATAAAACAGCACATTAAAAGACACCTTTGGGGAAAGTTTTCAGGCTGCTTGTTGTAGCCAGCAATTTTTGGTTTTTAGGCTGTCCTTTGTGACAAGATCAACAATGTCAGAAATAGAACATGCCAATTCTTTCAACGTTAAAATCATTGCACAACTTCTTTCAAGTTGAGCTCACAAAAAGGAGGTCAACTGCATTGAAGCATTCTCGCAGGAATGCTTGTGTAGCAACAAACTGTGAGGCTAAATACCTTTTGGACAAATGACTCACATGTTGGTTCTGCTTTCTTCCTACCAGGCTTCCGGAGAGCTTCAGCATGGACAATTCAAACCGGAATGCGGCATCGAGTCCCGTCAAAAATCATTTTGATGCTGCGGCTCTCTTGGGTGAGTCACACTTAGTACGATATACGTAATGGGAACAAGGTGCTGCAGTTTTCAACTGCTTGAACTGGCTACTCATGTACAAACTGTGCTTTTCGTTTTTTCAGAGAATCTGAGATAATTAACCCCTTAAGTGCCTTGGACGAGCTGAGCTCGTCGGCCACTTTCTGGCTAAAAATTCCGTGGACGAGCTCCGCTCGTTCAGTGGTTTTTTCGGTAGCCCTCAATTCCACAGACAAGCTAGGCTCGTCCGAGTAGTTTTGCGACGCTGATCATAAATGGCAGCACTTGTTTTAGTTGGCAAATATTTTTTCCCCCCCGCTGATTTTTGCGTAATAAACTTTTCAAATTTTATGTTTAATACTAAAAGAATAACAATTCATAATAAAAAAAAAGCACATATAGTTACTTTTGTAAAAAAAAAATTTGGCACTTAAGGGGTTAAACATGTAGCATTTAATCTTCAAATGTGCGTCAAGGTGAAACTTTTTACGAGTGAATGCCATGGCTTTCAGTCCACTTCGAGAGTTCTTGATCGAATGTCAGCCTCCTTCGAATGTTAACTTAAGGTTTGAACTTTGTTGAACCTGTTGACTAGCTATGTTAGGAGGTTCGAATAATTGAATCTAGCACTCATCACATTCAAATCTAGTTTATCAGACAAGTTGGTTCACTGGTGTTAGAAGTTCGCCCAGTGAGTAGCCATGTGAACCTTATAATTTAGCTTTTGAAATACTTGACTTGTAAAAACGTTTGTGCCATTTCCATGGCCAAGGGTATATGTATTCTACAAGACTTTTTATTTTATTGCAAATCTAGCAATTTGTGCGTGAGTTTCCTTCATGCTTGTTCGACGACAGCTAAGTGTGGTCGTTTAACCACTTTCATACTGTGGGTAAACTGAGCTTATAAACATGTATTCTTCTAGGTGCTGTTTCGTATCATGTGACAAACCTGCTGGAATGAGAACTACATTAAATATTCTTTTATGTGTATGTGCCAATGGGAGGGAGGCTACATTTACCGAGTGTATTTGACATTATTTAACAGCATGGGCGGCTAAGCTTGTAGGCCAGTTTCTGTAGTAAAATCTTGTGACCTTTAGCTTTGATCTAGTAGGTGTTGAAATTGCTAGGTCAAAGTAGCCTTTGAGGCGTCGTTTACTGGAGGTGAGATTTTATTGCTTATCTTTAGTGTCTCTGAGCAATATGCAACCAAACACTTGCTTAAACTTCAAGGGAATTAAATTTTTTTTTTGTTACACTTTTAGACAAATGAACTTAATAGCATTCAAGCTTGCTTTGACTGCAGAAGATCAGAGACTTTCATTTTGTGCTAAATTTAAGAAGACGGAAACAATTTTTTTTTTTTTTACGCTTGTTTCGTAAAAACTGGCTGATCGGGTGGCCTAACACATTTGTCATATGTTTTCATGGCGGCGTTTTGGTGGGGCTTTTTGCACATCTTTGAGATGAAACCTTTGAGCCAAAGAGAAGAGCCAAATCCATTTGGAAAGAAGCTCTCGCTTTGCACACTTCCCGCTTTCACTTTTGCGATTTCTCCCGCCAAGCCGCTCGTCGGTGCAGGTGCGGAGTGTCCGAGTGGCCGGTCTGCTCACACCTAACATACTCTGTCTGGGCTCATCTGGTTTCTCTCTCTCTCCGCCCCTCCCTGGTGCACCTCCCCCTCTCTTCCCGCCGCGTTCACGCCCCCTTCGGCCGGGCGCAGCCATGAGCCCCCCCTCATACCCTCCCTCGTCCCTGCCTGGACCCCTAGGAGCCCCCTTCCCTCCGTTCCCCATGCTGCCCAGGGGCTCTGCCTTCCAGAGCCCCCTTCCCCCCTCCTCCTCCCCCAACAACCTCCTCGAAGGGGTGGCCGCCGCTGCCGCTGCTTGCTCCTCACACGCTGCTCAGCCACCGCCCCCGTCCTCCTCACCTTCTCTTCCCTCAGGTGGGTCTGGCCTCTTTCTCTTTGCCCCTTCCCCCACTCTCTCTCTCGCTTTCTCTCTGGGCGTCTGGGCCCTCCCGTTCCAACACCACACAGCACAGATAGAAAGGGTTTGCAGTTGGAGGGGTAATGCGGCGCATTTTGTCGTACAAATTACGTCTCTAATTACTGTTGGGTTAATTTCTTGATTTCTTGCGACCTTGAGTAGAGGCACTGCTTTTGGTGTCCCGTGCTTGGCTGCTCAAGTCACCTTTAAAGTCAGTTTTAGTAGTCATATTTTAGTATGATTGCGTTCCTTGCTTCCGGACGAAAGGGCTGTAGTTTCTGGTTGCGTTCAGCATCCCCCTAACAGTGTGAAAGGACTGTGTTTCGTGGTCACGTTCAAAGTGTTCACCCTATCTCTGCAGCAAAAGTAGGCACATGACATCTGGAGAAACTGTTATCTATTGGAAATGTGACTTGAGCAATGGTCGGTGCCTTCTCGGGGGCTCTTAGTTTTATCACTATGAATTATGTTTGACTGTACGTTCCATAGCATTACTCTGATGATACTGCTTCGGCAAATTTGTTTTTTTTTTAACTCTTGCAGAGTAGGCTCATAGTCCTTGGGGGGCAAGGAGGGATCTTGTCATTGAGCACTTCATAGATGTATGCAGCAGGCTGAAAGACAGAAGGCTGTACATTGATCTTACACAAAATGAAAAAGTAACTGGTGCTTTGCTGTAGTATTTTTGTGTGTGACCTCGACCGTTCACCCTAACTCGGATCTTTTAAACCCACTTGTTTCTGGACTCGGGCAGATTGACTCCTTCATCTTAGTCAGTTCTTGAATCTACCGCATTCTTCACTCACATTAATTTTGTGTTCATATATATTCTTGCATTAAGGATGTTTTTTGACATAGTAAATGTAGGCACTCTAGGTGCATTCTATATTTTTATAGCCTTATTACATTAGCATTGAGAAGAAGAAAAATAATCCATCTATATCTATTCATAGGCTCTACCATGCTGTAAGCAACTTTTGTTTTATTCGACCCACCTGTGCAAAACCAGCAACACTGTACCACTCCACGACACAATGGTCACCAAGAAATTTCATTTCGTTCTCTCGAATTTTAGGCTTGTGGGTCGTAGGGGCAAGAAGGGGCCGATAGCTTAGCCTCGTTGTGGGAGGGTGCGGGTGTCCCCCTTTTCTCTCTCCCTCCCCTCCCCCTGGGGCCCTGTTGAGTGTGTGCCCTTGCTGTTCAGGGGCCTGGTGGTCCTCTGCAGACCAGGGTGGCATGACTCTGGCCAGCCTGCTGAGGCAGGGCACTTCCTCTGGCCTCGCCAGTGGTTCTAAGCTTGACCACGCTCTCAGACAGCCCTCACCACAGACGCGAAGACGTGAGTGTTGACGCCACTCACCTGTCCCCGCTGCGCATCTTCCGGTTGCTTGCGTCCCCCCCCCGGATGCCCGTTGCTATTCCTCGGTTCTGTCCTCTCTGACGGCCGTTGCTCCACACCCGCCTTGTTCTGTTTCTCTGTTCTGTTTGCATGTTGTTGTGCGACGGGCTTAGCTTGGGAGCACCATTTGGGGTAGTGCCCGTTTCTTTGCATGGAAGAGGTTGTGGCTTCTGTTTGAGGCTTGTTGTTTTGTAGGTGATGTTAGCTTGGGCTCTTTCATCGTACGGGGAGTCTCTACCTTTTCTAAATTGGGCTATTTCATCTATTTAAGGAAGTAAGCTAACTTTCCTTCCCTGAATTTTTATTATTATTATTATTTGTCCTAAAAGAAAAGAAGAAAACGTTAAAAAAAAGTCTACTAGTATGTTAGGGACCAAAGAAAGAACGAGAAGCAGTTTCGTATGCCAGAGGGGTGTCAGAATCTGGAGGAAAACGGTAGCTTCAAAGATTGCTTTTGAAAACTGCCACCATCTCTCGCATAGTCATAAATATTAGAGGCAAAACAACCTTATAATTGCTTTTGTTATAAAGGAATCACTTTTATGCTCCTAAAAGTGCTCACTGGTAACTCACAGGCTTACAGGCGGTATTATAACAAAAGTTAAAGGGGCAGTGTGGTGATTTTAACATTTAAATAATTTGCAGCTTGTATTTGTTTATATTGTTCACCAATGGAAGTACTGTGCCATTTGTGCCAAATTGTGCCAGGAACGAAAGTCCGCTACATCTTGTGCCGAAGTGCCATTTTCGCTAAAAATTGCGCCGCTCCTGTGCTGACACGGGCTTATACAAATAAAAAATAATATGTAATTTTTGGTTGGTTCTAATATTTAGAAGTAGAATGAAAGGAAAATGGCACAACTATGTACAGCGTCCCTGCCCACCATATATTTTGTTTCATCTTAGTTAAGAGCACAGTTGAGGAAGGCTCGAAAACACAACCACCAACACTTATACTAAGAAAAGCAAGTGAGGGGCATTTACTGGGCTTGACTGGTTTAGTGGATGAAAGAACACTTGCAGAAAAATGATTAATGGCATGATGTTGCGCTTTTGACGATGTTTGATCGGTTCCATTGGCTCGTAGCGTCAGCTGCTCATTGATTTACGATGAAACCAATTACTATAGAGATTGCTCGTCAACCGCGCTGGCCCCTTCATCGTCTGAATTTTCGGACGATGTCGGCAATGTCAGGAGCTGAAAGTTGCGAGAAACCTTAAACTTTATAACCTATAACCTTAAATTGCAAGCTTCACCCTTGTTGGTGTAAGACTGGTGGCAACTGATAAAGCCTGTTTGCTCTACTGATGTCTAAACCCTGGTTAGCTCAGTTGGTAGAGCGCTCCACTTGTAATGGAGAGGTCCCGGGTTCGATACCCGGACCAGGCGGGTTTTTTCGGTCGCGCACCAGTCACCTAGCTGTGTTTGGAGATTTGTTGGTCCTTTGTCCCTCTTGTTCCCCTTCTCCAGGGATTATTCTTGTCGTTCTTGTCCAGCTCACTTGCACCTTTGCATTTAATTGCATTATAATCATAACTTCTAATTGCAAGCTTCACCCTTGTCGGTGTAAGACTGGCGGCAGCTGATAAAACCTGTTTGCTTTATTGACGTCTAACCCCTGGTTAGCTCAGTTGGTAGAGCGCTCCACTTGTAACGGAGAGGTCCCGGGTTCGATACCTGGACCAGGTGGATTTTTTTCGGTCGCTCACCAGTCACCTAGCTGTGTTTGGAGATTTGTGTATGTCCTTTGTCCCTCCAGGGATTATTTTCGTCATTCGTCGTCGTCGTGATAAAGCTTCTTTGCGAATAGTATCAACTGGGCTTTGTCCAGTGTAAACAGTTATAAAAATCAAAAGATTGCTCACTTCGTTATTTGTTACAGTTTTTTTGTTGTCAGTTTGTGGATGAAACATAAGTCATTGTAAATAGAGAGTTTTTGATCAACATACTCAATTTTAGTGCGTGCTAGTGCTAAATTTAGTGCTTACATGTGCGCACGCACGCAAGAAAGTTTTAGAATAGCGTTTCTCTGCCACGACACAAAAACCCAAGCATCTCGCACTTACAACGCCACCCGGAAAAGTTAGAATTTTTATTTCAAACACAAAATGCTGTAACTTGAGAAAAAACAAGTTTTTTTAGTCCAGAGTACCAATGTAGGTTTGTTTAAACATGAGAATGCGACACGAGCGGTTGACCGGTTGTGTCCGATTGCGTCGCCTTGGCAAGAGAGGTCTCATGTACTGACCTTCACACACTTTGCCTTCGCCAAGAAATGTTTGTGCGTCGTAAGCATCAAGTTGCCGGCGATTGTTGCCAACCTTACTGGGTCTTCCAAACTGAGTGCAATGTCGCCCTGTATTGAAAATCATAATTGCGAGGATGCCGTCGATGAGCGGCCGCAGCCACCGTCCTTGGAGCTGCCATTTTTTAGCTTTGTTCATCTTGGCTTTAGCCAACTTCTTATCACGGATCCTCCTTGGAGGAGCGCAAAGACTTTTTGCGCATCTACGCAATTTCTGAAAAATAGCGCACGCTAAAATAGTGCACGCAAAGCGCAAAAAATGTGGTTAGAGTTTGGCGCTATCCTTTGCGTATGCAAAGCTTTAGCGTGCACAATTCTAAACCTGTCTAATATATCAACGAAAATCGATTTCTTTAAGTCATCTAAAATATAAACATTGCAGCGATCGCACTGTTTTGCATTCCTGCGTGTCGTATCGAACACCAGGGCACTACTATCTTTGGTTTGAGGTTGGTACTCTTGCTACAACATAAATGGCGACAGCATCAGTTTGCACTCGGCAAGTTTGTTCAAGGCCAGTTCTCCGTGTGACACTCCCTGGGTGTAATGCATTCTGGGAGAGAACTTGCATGGTGGCAGTGCATGTGGAACAAAGTTCCTATAAGTTTCAGTTTCAATTGACTGACTTCTCTTTATGATGTCACGTCGCAACCAAATACATTGCTTGCCAGCTGATATGGTAAGGTGGCTGGGGCACTTCTCTTTGGGTTCCCGACATGTCGGAGTTTGTGCGCAGGCAAATATATATATATATATGGACGACAGCTTAATCGCCTTGCCAGTCCAACATTCTAATATTGATGACCACAAGTGCGTTAACTATGCGAGTGCGTTGATTATGCGAGTAAATACAATAACACTTATACCCTCGCACAACCCCTTTGTCAACGAAGTGATCGAAACCGAAATCATGCGACTCCACCTCTTGACCACCTGGTTTCCAGGATGCAACTTACGCACTGTTGAATGCCAGGATTTATTAATGTAGCTTATGTTGGGCTTTAATGATCTTGTTGTTTAGACACCAATAAATGCATAAAAAGCCTAATAATATGACCTGAATTTTAGTAAGCTTTCATGTGCCATCTATTCTAAGTCAACAAAACCATCCCCTCTTCACTGCCACTGTCCCTCTGGTGAACTGGGTTTGTTCAGTGAACGGAGAACAGTCTGCTCATACATTTTTTCTTTTGTCCCTACTTCGACCGCCCGCCCTGACCGTCGGCGGTGCTGGCTGGGTGCAGTGTTTTTTCGTGCCCGAACCAGTCAACAAACACTAATAGAGCGGGGGGGGGCGGGGTGAGGCACGGCGCCAGGCGCCAAAGACGGAACTTAACCAGAACCTCCACGTTTTTCCGTGCCACATCACTGCGCCTGTCACTCATAATATACTCCGAAGAAAGGGTCTTCACCCTCAGCACATACTTGTGCTGCAGTGTGTAGAAAGAGAAAGTAACTAAGCTCATCTGGACTCCGGTATCGTTAAGGTGGCACAGAGATAATGTCCTAATTGACACTACGTCGAGATCAGCACCATAATTCAATAGATTCGGAGAGTTATAAACAATACTTCCTAAAACGGGATAGCTGTTCACTCTTTTACTAACCCGATAATTTGTTTTCGCTCATCTTGCTGCTGCCCTGTTCTTGGCGTTTCGTTGCCGGACACCTTATACGCTTGTGCTCGTGGCAAGGTCTGAAGCCGTGCCAGCCACTTTTCCATGCTTGTACTCCGCCCCTGCATTTTGTGCCTCTTGCTTGGCTAGTTCGGGGCCCTCACACTTGGGCAATGGCCCCTCTTTGTATTCTGCTGTTCTCTAATGCTCTGTCTTTGCTCATTTCCACACTCTTTTTTCCGCTCCCTTCGAGCAGTTGAGGAAGTGCTTTCCGGACACGCCTATTCCAAACCTGCCGACGTGCACTTCAAGTGCAAGGCGTCAGGTAGGCGCGATGCTGCCTTGTCGTGCCTCTTCTCTGTCTTCTGCTCTTAATGCAGCTGAATTGTGTCTGTTTGGCCGTGTCTTTGCTGCGTGTGCTCTGGCACACACTTGTTTATTTACGTGCACAAATGCCTAGTGCTGCTTCGAAACATAATGCCATCTAATCGGTTCTGGGGGCTTGACTTGGAGACGTGGCTTGTTGTCGGTTTGCATAGAAAGGCTGCGTTGTGAAAAGAAGGGAATGTGTATAAAGTGGGCAGCCACATTCTTGTCTACTGATAGTGCTTGTCACATGTGCTTGCTGTCTGTTTTGTAACTCTTTTGTTGCGAGTGAGAAATTGGGGGTTAATACTGACTGACGGTGTTTTGCTTTCCCAGGCATGAATGGATCTCAGGCTCCTGGCAAGATGCTGCCACCATCAGCCCACAGCAGGTCTTCGAAACATCTCGACCTTCTTCAAGACAGCCTTATTCTGAATTCGGTCAAGTAAGGCACATTGAGCATTTTATGTGCATTCCTGCTAAAGATCATTTAGTGAGTGAAAGAGCTTTATGGTATGTCTATTTTTTTCCAACCAAGTTTAAATTTTTTTTTTGCGTGTATGCTTTTGTGAAAACTAACAGTATTTAGTGCACAAGAATATAAATTTATGAACAATTGCTTCAATCTAGCTACTTTATAGCTGCTGCTTTATTACGATACTTTACAGACTTGTGGCACTTTTTGCCCCTGCTGCATCAATCTACAGCTAATGTGCTCCAGCTTTATGGGGGCTCATCTTAGGAGATAGGCGTGTGCGTCAGTACCTCCCACTACATGCCGTAAGAAATAATTCCTCCACGTCAATGCAAGCTCCTGAGCTTCCTTCTAAATTGAGAACCTACGTGCCTGAAGTCTTCAACCGGCCCGAAACGTGCGACTTTCAGATGTGCCTGCAAAACTGCAGCAACTCTATACCTAGTCAGACATAAGTTAAAGGCCGACATACATTTCGTGCTTTCCAGTTTTAACCGCTTTCTCCTTTCCTTTATTCTCTCCACCTTTTACCTTGCCCCGATTTGGCTCCCCTTGCAGCTTAGGAAAGGGAAGTGCTAAGAGGATTATCTTCCCTGCAAAAAAACAATGTTGTACGTCGGCCTTTAAAAATGCGACGAAAGCTCTACCTCCAGCGCGAGCTATTCACCTTCGGTGACACTTTGGGGTCTTGTGAGCATGCCTAGGTGAAGCGCGATGGAAAGCCACTAGCACGTGCTAGAGATAGAGCTTCTGTCACATCCTTAACTATCATTCAACCATAAGAGCTGTGCACAGGCGTTCCCGTTGTGGGATTTGCTATTAGCAGAGGTACCGACGAGTAACCAAAGGATTATCTCAACAGTGGCAGTGATCTCAAAGGAGATGCTAAACCTAGTAGCGTGGTCCCCATACCTCCACGGCAATATAGACAACGTTTAGGGCCACATTACCGCGGGTCGGTTTGATAAATTACCTCTGTCGGTGCCAATGACCAACTACCTTGTCTCACTCTCGAATATACACCAACTCATGTTTATAAACAAACCGGAGCGCCCCTAGCGGACGCCACCGGCGCCGCGCATGTGCGGTGGATGGTGGGCAAGAAGCCCGCCGTCGCCCATAAACAAACATTGAATTGCGTTGTTGTCGGCGTCGGTGGGAGTCCCCGTGCTCTTTTTCGCGTCGGAATTGTTGATTCTACGTTCTCCTAACAATGTCTGACTACTTGAGCGGGTTCAGCAAAATTAACGAGGCAAAACATTGCGTGAATAATGTGACGTGCGGCGATTCATTTCACGTTGACGCCGCAGAATGAGCGCTAAAGCCTGACTCCCACGATGAGATTCTGCTCGCTATTCAGCCGTGACGTCGCTTGGACTGAAAAAGCGTGGACCGTAGCTGAGATGGTGGACGTCGATACGGAAAATCGCAAGTAGAATCGGAGATTACACTTCGGTGATGGCGACTGGTAACAATGATCAACATCTTCTTGTATCTGTTTACACTTAGCCTACTTACCCCAACCAACCTTCAAAAGTGTTTTGAGGCCTGCACTCAGTTCTTATCACAATTACCGGGTCAACGTTTGGTTTACGGGCCAGTGTCGTTTGAACGAGCTGACGACAGAAAGCAGACAAGTTTGAAAGAGCAGACGACAGTTCGAACTCATGCGCAATGGAGTACAGGCAAGAAGCACCGCGTCCCGCGTCAACAAACCATTGGTATGTCACATTGTCGGCGTCTGTGTGAGTCTGCATAGTCTTTTTCGCGTTGGAATTGTCGATTCTACGTTTTCATCGCAGTGTCTCACCACTTTGATTGCCTGAGCAAAATTATCAAGGCTCGTTACGCCGCTAAACTTTGCATAAATAATTTGACGTGCGGTGATTCATTCGCATGAACGCCACAGAATGGACGCCAAAACCATGATGAGATTCTTCTAGCTATTTTCGGTCGCGACGTCGCTCGTGCTGCAAGAGTGTAGAAGGAAGCGGCGATGATCGACGTCGATACTGAAAATCGGAAGCGTGTAAGAAGTCGGTGATGGCCACCGGTACCAATGATCAACATCTTGTATCTACTGTTTACACCGAGCCGAGTCTTTTGAGGCCTGCAATTACTTCTTATTGCGATCACCGGGTCCAAGTTTGGTCTACGGGCCGCTTTTGTTTGAACGAGCAGACGACAAAAAGCAGACAAGTTTGAAAGAGCAGACGAGAGTTCGAACGATCAGGCGGCCGTGTGAATTTGAAGACGCACTTAACCCGCGGGTGGTCCGAACAACTTGGCGGTTTTCTCTCGTTCATGTTGAAACAAAGCAAATACATCTGGCGACCACAAAGTGTTGCCCGCACAAGCAATCGTAGTTCGACAGCGTCTGGTTTTCCCTTTTCACGGCTACTATCCACGTTCTCGGATGAACGGAGGGGGCAGAAACACATAAAAACTGATCTTCAAACCTTTCCAGACTCTCTTGGTACAGCCTCTTGGTACAGCCCCTTGGTACAGGTTTTTTGTCTAGTTTCTTCCAAAGGAATGCAGGAATGCATGTCTCGCACGGCGACTTCTGCCCACCGCTCCAGACTGGAAGTGCACCAGCCGCGCCACCACCGCGGCGTGACGTAGGAGAGTTGAGTTCGTGTATAGTGGAAGAGAAGACACACATACCAGAGTAAGGACGTAGTCCAAGAGCATTTATTAAAACCAACTCAAAATGAACCCCATCCAAAATGCCCCCCGTGCTGGCAAGGTCCTTACCTGCCAGATGTGGGGTTCCGGAGAGCCAAGATTGGGGAAGCATTGGAGGAGCCTCCAATACATGTCCTATCTCTTTTGTGGTCACCGGACGAGTCCCCTTCCTGAAAGCGGGAAAAGACGAGGCTAAACCTCCTCGCCTGGCAGTCTTGAACCGCATCCGAGCGGGGGAAAAGAAAAAGGTCCCTTCGGGAGAGAGTGAGAGGGGTATCCTCCAAGACAGGGGGGACCCTGTCTTGGAGGATACCCCTCTCACAGGGGGGACCCATCGGGGAAGGGAGACCACAGAATCTCCAGGCCGTGAATGTGTACCCATACGCTATGCCACGCAGTGCTGTGAAAGCCATGGGCTAGAGAGAGAGAGGGAGGGAAGGCCCTTTTACAGAAATTTTGAGGGACAGGTCAATCTCCAGTGAGCACAGAAGTGACATCTGGGACAAAAAGGAGGGTAAGAGGGAATTTCTCCTCTCCGCTTTTCTAGCTACTTTCGTTACTGACTCGCCCCTGTACCTTTGGTAACTTTGCGCGCAACTAGTGAGATAAAGTCGCGTCGCTTTAATGTGGGCCCCATTAATACGAACCTCGCCATCGTCTGCTATTGCGGTGTTGGAAATTGAGTCTGTCTTTTGGGCAGACTGTCGAGCAACTGAAAATGTTTCCTAAAATTATCAACGGGGATTGTGGCATCCAGCTCATGAACTACATTGATTTCGCGGATGTCACTCACAGCAGATGCTCTTATCCTTTCAATATTATACCATTTCAATCCCGTATGGATTGTTTTAAAAATTATTTTCTTTCTCGCACTATCGAGTTTTGAAACAATGTCGATGGATCTACATTTATGCTTCCCTACGACTTTATTTTACAAAGGAATAAACTTACCTTGCCCCGATCTGTTATAGATAAATCCTTATTCCTAGTGTTTTTTGTCGTTCAACATTGATTAATTTTGACCGTCATTATTGGCCTAAATTGAGGTTGCAGCAGGTATAAATAAATAAGTAAATAAAATAAATACCTCCTATATTGACAAAATTTTCGAAGATGAGCCGGGCAAATATGCATATTTTTGTCTCATTATTACGGACAACCCGCACATTGGACAACTTTGAACGGGCGGAGAGGGAGAGAGGAAGGGGAGGGAAGGAGGAAGGGGAGGGGAGGGGGGGAAGGAGGGGGGAGGAGGGGGAAGGAGGGAGGTGTGCGCGTCTGCGAGACACAACTCAACGGGCCCCAATTCGGCTGCGCTTGCAGGGAGAAGCTGCTGCTGGGGTCGGCCAAGGGGCCCCCCAGCCTGGCCCCGGTGGCCCCTGGCTCCCCGTTCCTGGCCCACGGGGGAGAGCTGCTGTCCAAGGGGCTTGGCCATGGGGCCGAGGGCTCGTCCCGGCCGGGCATCACCCTGCCTCTGGGCAGCCTGGTTAGAGAGAGGGCCGGGGGGGCCCACAAGCGCAGCCGCAGGGGTCGCAGGGACCCGGGGCTGGCCGCCTCAGCCGCTGGCAAGGTGGGTGCGAGCGGGCGGCTCGATTGGACGGCGGAAGCGAGCAGCGGGCACCGTTTGTGCGGCCCAAAGTGGTTTTGCTCGACCTATGGTTGAGGAGGGGTTTCATGGAGGGCACCTATTCGGTCGTGCGGGGGGTTGCACACCGAGCAGATGCAGTTGCGGGCTCTGTGCGTCCGCACAAACCCGTTGTCGGAGGGCGAAGCATGCGCGCATGCTTTGTCCCATGGCAGACACCACCACCTTGGTGTGATGTCGGGAACCCGAGCTGCTGGTGTATACGGTGGCTCTAGAGTTTTCTTGCTTTGGAAAGCTTCACTTGGAGGGTTTTTCAAAGTGAATACAGCTCTTGGAAGCTTTCTTTTCCTCTTCCCCCCCTGTCAAGAACAAGATGTTTTGAATAGATTGCCGAGTTAGTAATTTTATTTGGTTTCTTGTCATCTAACATTTGTCCCCAAATGGTATTTCAAGCAGGGAGGTAGAGGCTATTTACTTTGAGCAATTCCTGCCTTTAAAAGTATCCGTCTCACCATGTTTGCCGACCCTAGGGCCAGCTTACTGAGAAGACTAGAAGGACATAACAGTCAGTCTTCGGGATGCCTCTATCCTAAATTGATGCAAGCAACAAGAATGAGGGTGATATGAGCACGGCCACACAGATGGTGGAACGACTGCTTCTCCCCATGCAGCTTGCCGAGTGCCTGATGCTGAAGCAGCCCCCGACGTCTTCCTCGCCCCTCCCGGGCAGCAGCAGCGGCCACCTGGGCTCCTCCCCGTCCCTGTTCCCGAGCCCCGCCCATTCGTCGGGCCCCTCCCCCCGACACCCCTCCTCCTCGCCGGCCCACACGGAGGCGCCCCCGTCCTCCCGCTCCGGGGACTCCATGCCCCTGGACCTGTGCGTGAAGAGGAGCGGCGGCCCGCCCACCACGTTCCTGTCCCCAGACGTGACCCTGACCCCTGTGGGAAGCACCTCCCACCGGGGTCCCTCCCCGCACCTGCCTCAGAGGCACATCCTGGAGACCCTGCCGGCCAGCCTGGGGGGCCTGGCCTCGGCGGGGGGCGGGGCCTCTCTGGGGCCCTCCTCCTCTTCCTCGCGGAGGAGGGGGCGGCGCCCGAGGGGGTCCTCCCTCCTGGCGGACCTTGCCCCGCCCAGGGACTGCAGTCCCATGGGACTGCTTCTGGGGGCCCTCGCCGCACAGGTGAGCCTCCCTCTCTGACTCGGGGGGTGGGAAGAAGAGAGGTGCGCGTTTGTCAACACCTTCTATAGCCGCCGACGAGACGAGAACGGCAGGGAGGCCTTTCGGCTGCCCCGACTCCGATGCGAGCTTCCTAACTTCAATCAGGCTTCGACGTCTCGCGAGCCTCTGGCGTGCTTCTGCAGCCACAGTACGGCAAGGGGCAACAAGCGCGTGACGTTTGACAGGGACGCCTTTCTCACTCTGTCGGCGACCGTAGATAACAATGCGGTGAGGGGAAGAAAGGCACGTGTCAGAGTTGGTCCCCTCACTGGCCTCCAGTTGGTGGTGTAGAACATCCCGTACTGTGGCCTCACTACCCAAGAGGTGTAGTAGTCTTTTCCACTTGGTCTCTCTTTCCTTTGACGGCAGGTCGAGGCTACAGCATCTCCACCTTCACCACTTTGTATAGATACAGTGGTGGACAGTGTTGTGACCTTGGATTTTACGGTTGATCCCGAATAAGTCGAACCTGGGTATTTAAAAACATTGTCTATTTCGAACAGTTAAGACATCCCCTAGAAAATCTCATGCACAAGCGTATGTGCCTCGTGAGACTGTGTCGAACTTGGCCATCTGGGACATTCCATACGTCGGACCACGCGCCGTGCCCCTGGTTGGGAGGCCTTCCCCGAACACGACCGTCGCTGCTCGGTTTCCATGGCCGAGGATAAATATGATATACCAAACTATTTTACAATCCCCTTTCAATTCAATATATCCAGGTTCGACTATAGTTGCGCAGAGGTTGGTTGTGTTTGAGTAAAACCTGATCATTCCCAGCAAATATACAGCCTGTTAAAACTCCGTTAAATCAAATTGTTTGCCTGCATTGAATCTGGAATGCATGGCGGATAGTATATACATTAGGGGCTGACTCCTCTAGTACTTCTTAGTTTTAGGGGCCAAAGCAGGCGTAATGAAAACAATTAGTTAAGAGCAATATCTCCAAAAAATGAATGACTAAAGAGAAAACTTTTTGTTTTGTTATATTTATCGAATGCGTGAATCTTGATTAGGTAACATACCCATGGATTTGTCCATATCTGTAATATTAAAATCTGTTATAGTCAAACTCGATTTGTCTAATTTCTCCGGAAAATTATGGAACCGGATTTGTATCCCCCAAATTTTTGAAACTTACAAAGCCAGAAGACATTCATCCCTGTGTACCCTACATCTACCTTTCTTTATCCATGAATGAATAATCCACAGTTAACCTTTTTTTTTTTTTTTTTTTTTTTTTAAGATGACACATTTTGGGACTGCTAGCAGGAAGCCCTAGGCACAGTCCTGTGCTACACTGCAGAGCTTGCATTTATTTTTCTGGTCCTTTTTTTTTGTCTGGTCATGTTACTCGCTTTGTGGGATTAAGCTGGTCAGATAAGGATAGCTTCATATGGCTTGTATGTTCTTCCAGATGCTCAGATAATTGCTTTGGAGTGCATGCTGGTATTGGTCAGCGAATGCTTTTATGTTCTAATGCCAAATCACTTTGTAGGATGCCAAGCTCTCACCTAAGGAGCAAGAATCCCTACAAAGATTTCAACTTCTAGCTTCTCAAGGCTATAAATCTAGGAATAATCTGGTGAGCAAAAGACGTTTTCTTGAGTTTCTGCAGCAATTACCTGTTATAAAGTCTTGGGGAGATGTCTCATTGCTTGTTTTCTTTAGCTGACACACAATGTCTCTAGGCATACTTTGATGAGGTAAGCAGCGTGGGGATGTATTTTGCCCCGAGATTTATCAGCAAACCTCTGGCATTTGAAGCTTTCTTTTGCTGCTAGCCTGGCTCGTCCAGCCATGGATAGTGTGCAGCCGGTCTTTGATAAGCTTGTAGCACGAGGTGGCACGTTGATAAAGTGCACTTGCTTCACAAATGGGTCATTCCATGCCAAAGGAGGTGCGGCAATTTTTTCGTGTCTGGGGTGTGAAAAAAAAAAGATTCATTTGGATAAAGAGAAGCCTTTATGCTCAAAGAAAAGTTCTTTCTTTTTTTGTTTTGTGAAATAATAAATTTTATTTTTGCTGATGTCACGCTCTAAATTTCTGGAATTTTGCATAAAATTCTTGCACTTAAGGGGGGACATTGGCTAGAGATTTAGCTTCTGGATTACTCAAATGATTGGAATGAAATTTGCGGGGGGATCTAACGTGAGATGTGGGTGTATTTTGCAAACTTTCAGCTCTTGAGGACAATTTTACATACCTGCATAAGAAGATGTGTCACTCTTTGTTAAGGTTTGTTCTTAACAAAGATGAGCCACTCTTTGTTAAGAAATCTATGATATGCAAATGAACCTATTAAGCACCATTTTGACTGCTTGAATATAAAGTGGCGGTTGTGGGACTTCGGCTATCTAGTTTTTAGAACTCAAATGTAAATATTTTAGGAAGAGTCATTACCTCAAAATATGAGATGCATATCTGTCCTATGTAAATTTTTGAAAACTTGGTTCTTTCTCAATGTGTACTTCAACTTAAAACAAAATAAAGTAGATAGCTCGATTTTCCAGTCAATTTCAGTTCAGAAACGTCTTGATTGTGGTATTAGAATACTTTTACCTCCTAACAAAAGTTTTCTTCGTAAGAAATTTGCAGCAAAAAGTGGAACTGAGAAAAATGCATTCGAACATTAAACTCCTTTGCTTTGTTACTGCCTCACAATGTGTTGAAAATATTTTATATTAACGTGACTATTTAGCGTATGGCTATCAAATTTAGTGTATGGGTGTATAATTAGTTTATAAAACCAAAAAACTTAAACATAAACATGAATTTAAAAAAAATAATTTAAATGTAGGCTTTTATTATTTTTTAAAGGGGCCGTGCAGTCATATTTAAGCGTCTACCTTTTTGCAGTTTTCACGTTTCCACGAAGAAAAAAAAAAGAAAAAAAAATTTAGAGCTATATTTACGGCGCAAATTGAATTTGTAGTTTGTGCCCGCAAGAGCCGTCGCTGGTCACGTTGTAGGCCCGCGCTGCGTCGCCGCCACCACAAGGTCACGCCACCGCCACACGCTGAGCGTTTTGCGACGCCGCTTCAACGCGTTTCTCTATGCCGCCGTCGCCGCCGCCGCATAAGTTTGTCTGCTTCGGGGCGCCGCCGCCGCCGTCTGACCGGCGCACAGGCCTATCGCCTCTGCTTGTGCTTTTTCAGGAGCTTCCTTTGGGCTCTAAAATTTTCTTATTTATCTTAGTTTTTTGTTTTTACTTCAAACAAAGATGAATAAGTTACTTTTACAGGCTATGATAAGCTTCCAAAAGAGTGCAAGTACCAACTGATAAACAAGGACCAGTCACGTGATAAATAAGGGCCCCTTTTCCACGGTGACCGCGGGCGCCAACTACAAATTTGTATAGCGCCGTAAATATAGCTCTAAAAATTTTTTCCCTTCGTGTAAAATCGTTTTATGACATTCTTTTTCCATCTAAGCTGTTTAAAAAAAATGTTTTTTTCCTTTGCATTTGTCCTTTAAGGGAGAAACTACCTGGGAACATTAACTCTCTAGATGTTGGTGGATGTAAATATGTCATTTTTCAAAATGACTTTTTTCGCAGAAATTTTGTTTCTGGGTGGTGTCCCCCTTTAGAAAAATCCTTGTGAATAAACAGTTGCATATCACAAAACTATAGGTGGGTGCTTAATTACTTAATAATATGCCCTATCTTACACTAAAATACAAAAACTGAAGGATGCCATTTTGAGTCTAAATTAAAGGGAAACTGAGGCAGTTCTGTGTTTGAGTAAAAACTCTTAAATAGTCTTCATTTGACCTCCAGGATCACGAATATCGAAATTATTTTTAAATTTAGTGTGCAGAGGCTGCAAAAAAAACATTTCCACAAGTACCGCTGAAGCCCCCCCTTCCCGGAGCGTGACATTGTATCAAGAGTTTTTGGAATCTCCGCTCTCGCGCATCTTCAGCGCCTATCAAAGCTATACACGTGCATTCTTGCTATTTTTACAAATTGTCAGAAAAAGACTTTAGGACTCGTGTCAGTGCGGGGAAGTATACCTGGCAAGCTTTTAATTGCACGCGCTGCCCACACGAGCAGAATGCTTGGCAGCCATTGGTGGCCGGACATTTTTTGTGTTTTCTCACGTTTAGTTACATCTTCAGGGAAAACAAACGCGACATTATATTCAGGGGATAAAGATACTCTAAAATTCAACTCTAACTCATTTTTACAGCGGAGCTGTTAAGGGCTAGGTTCCCCAGAATCGTGTCCAGTACCAAACAAATGTCGACACAAACTTGCACAAACCTCTGGACAGCTACCGCCATCTATAGGCGACGGCGGCAACCAGGCAACCAGTCTGGTTACTGCCATCGCTCATAGATGGCGGCAATCTTTCTAGGTATCATAGAAGAATGGACAGTTGGGCGAGTTGGTGTGAATTTATCGTAGGACACAGTGCGAAAAACAGATGAGGACGAAGAAGAAACACGTAACGAGCGCAGCGTGCGTCACGCTGCGCACATCACGTGTGTTTCATCTTTGTCCTTGTCTGTTTTGCGCACTGTTTCCTACGCTCTTATCAGTTTATATTTTCCCGGGTAATACATTTTTATTCTTGTGGTTTTTTCAAAACATATCAATGAGGTTCTATTGTACATTGGTTTTATGCAAATTTCAGAAATTTAGAGCGTCATGTCAGCAAAAAGGCCACTTTATCCAATTGAGTTTTTTCGTGCATACCCAGAAATTAAAATATTGCCACGTCTCCTCTGGCATGGAATGACCCGAACGCAAGGGCACCGGGATCATGTGTGCTTGCCAGCTTGTACTTGAGAGTTATCACATACTGGTGAGCTTTGAACGCAGATTACCATATATAAGAGTTTTTACAGAAGTGATACAAACAGTGCTTATTCTGTTCATGAAACTTAAATTTCTGCCTTTTGCAATATATATAATTTTTTTTTTCTTTAATATTTTTAATAGCACTGGAACTGTACGAAGGTTGGAGTCTTAGATTTCCTAGTTACTTACAAGTTAGCTGCTAATGTTCTTGTAGGGATCTTTGGGAAGGAGGACCTGTAGCTTGTTGCACCTATGCTTTTACTGCAAAACCTGCCAGAAGGTGCAGACATGTAGTAGCTTTCCATCAGCATATGGCCTGGCTTTCTTAGTAGCAAAGGCAGGAAGCCGGCCAGCAGGTTGCAGAGTGAACAGAGAGACGAGGAAATGCTTGGATGTCAGACCAGAGACAGTTTGTGCCAATCTAAAGAAACACAATTCTTGTGACTTGTGTCGCGAGCAGTAATTAGAAAAATTGATGCAAATAAAAGAAGTCAAAATTAAAAAAAAAAAGAAAAAGGGTTTGTGCTCTATTGTTTTATTTCTCCGTGCCCTGCCCTTTGTTTGAATTTCTAAGTCAACTCTCATCCAGCTGGCAATCCGTCCTTGTTTCCGCGAGTGCTCACAGACAAGGCGTCCCTTTCCCGCAGTTGCAAAAGCACGGGGGAGAGTTTCCGCACCCGGGGGACGTAGGCGGGGGGGCGACCCGCCTGCCGGCCACATCGCCCACGGCGGGCCTGGGCCCTCCGCGGCCCCTCGGCAGGGAGCTCCCCCCGTCCTCCCGGATGGGGCTCAAGCGCCTCTCGCCCGACGGGGACCAAGGGGGCGGGCCACACTCGTCGGGGACACGCCCGCGGGGCTCACACCGTCACCGTTCCAAGCGGCAGGAGTTGGAGAACAGCGTCTCGGCCAGCGGTGAGCTTCCTCACTGTCTAGAGGGCTCGCAGCCAGCTCTGGTCAAGGAACCAATCGGGGCAGAGACAAACTGTTTGAGAGGGGGTCGCTCTGTGCTGTACCGTGAAGTCAGCTGTCATTGTTGGCATATGTACAGTCGGACAAGCAGAGCAAAGCAACGAAACGAGGCCTAATGATGGAATCGAATGCCCGGGCGTGCACGGAATGCATGCACACACGCTAAACGCACGCGCACACACAGGTTACACTTGCGCCCCCTCTTGTCTTCGCTTAACACCATGCACCAGCACCTCGTGGGCATTCTCCGAGATGGCGCTTTCCGTGACTTCGCCTCCCGGTGCTGCCTGCGTCGCGCTCGGAGGCCCGTCTGCGTGAAGTAACATTTCCAAGCACTCACAGTCGCGGTAAAATTTTTTTAGGGCCGAAGCTCCTTAAGGTCTAGCCTTGTCTGTCCGGCATCCATTCTCACATCGATCTTGCTGGTGCATGTGCTTGGGATGTGCTCGTGAGCTCACGAGCACGTGAGCACGTGCTCACGTGCTCGTGTGGAACAAAAGAAAAAACAAATTGATGAAAAAAAAAAGAAAGAAATGTTTGCGCAGTCCACAGGATTCAAACCTGTGCGGGGAGACCCCAATGGATTTCTAGTCGATCGCTTTAACTACTTGGCCACAAACGTCATGGATGAAACGTTGCATGTAGCCGCTCAACGTCTATACAGGAGAGGGCGCTGCGGTCAAATGCGTATATAATCGTGTTAAACTTTGCATGCATTGGCTCAACGTTTATAGACGAGACGGCGCTGCGGTCAAATGCTCAAATGCGTATATAACCACGTTCCATTCTACACATTCTCCTTCTGACATGGATGAAAACGAACGAAAGGCTCGGCATGCTGCGGCTCAGCGTCTACGCAGACAAGCACCACCAGAGCTTCGCCCCAATCAACATCATTCACCACGTGGAGATGCGGTCATTTTTTTTACATTCTTCACTTCTTTTACGAAAACTTTTTTAGGGCCTCCTTTTTTTGATATTTTACGGTGATTGCACTTCATTATATGAGGCTAAAATACATGGTGTTCTATGCCCAAGAAGTTACGAAAATTGGGGTAGTTTGTTAAATTGGGGATTTCGTTACATTGAAGTTCGTTACATCGAGGTTCGACTGTAATCCCAAGTATGCCGCAACATTTCCCGGCCACACTTTAAAGCACATGGGTGACAAGCCTCCGTGAGGGACCTCATTTTTATTTCATTCATCTACAACTTTTGTAGCTTCTTGTGATGAGAAAGGGAAAGAAAGGGACCATTTAAATGGCAACAGAATGTTTTTCTATAGCAAAGTGGATGCAAACAGTGTCCGCGAGAATCCCGCTCAGTGCCGCGGCCTCCCCTCTCACGCAGACTCTTCGAGCGACTCCGAGTCTGCGGTGGCCGACTCCCGCTCTATGAGCGGTGGCTCGGACACGGAGGACACGGAGCGGTCGGCGGCGGCCAGCACGTCCGGCAGCATTCCAGCCTCCTCAGTCTCCGACAGGGTTTCCAAGCGCCATACCGAGGAGCACGGTCAGTGGCCGGCATTGTGCCCCTTCGGTTTCTCGTCGGAGGGGTTGGGGGAGGGAGGTGGATCAGCTTACTGCTACTGCATTGCAGTCTGCTTTAGAAGTCGAAAATCCTGGCAGATATGGACGAACAATATGAATTTTAACTATTTTTTAGCTTTCGGTGATATGGCAAGGATTCCCTTTACTTTTTGCGGTCATGTGTATAGGTGCAGCATTACGAAATGCTTAAACATTGACTTCGGAAAGGTGTCTTAGGTGTGCGTGTACCTTTGTTGCCTCTTCAAGGCATTGTAGAAGGGGCACCGTACACGGGCTTTAGGCCCAGAAGTGCCCTTGTTCTTGTCGGGCTTATCCCACTCTTATTTGTCGGAATTACTGCTGTCGCTGCGGTCTTTACTGACCCAACAAAGGGTGATTAAGGACTATTAACTACACTTCACTTCAATGTAAGTGCAAGCAAAGCCAAAGCTGTAAGGGTGTGCCATGTTGCATGCCCGCTGTCTATGCTTCTTTGTGCTATGCAGTCAACTTCCAAAGCAACATGCTTGCACTTATGGGGGAAATAAGGTATATAGTGGTATGTGAATATTTGAGATTTCAAACATGGATATCTTATTTTGATTATTTGATTAGAGAATCACCTTTTGAAAAGCAGCCAAACATTAGGACAGAGATTGCAATATTTGGGTGGAGCAGATTGTTTATATTCAATGTCAACCTTTTTGGGTCACGCAGTCAAGGGTAGCGTACCCTATTTTCTGGACTAAGAGTCACACCCTTGTATTAGCCACACTTCTGTATATTGGACCATTTTTGTATAAAAGTTGTTATATAAATTGCACCTTTGTATAAGTCGCACCTCTTTGCATGGATCACGCGATTCATTTTTTTTTTTTCACGCACATGTGTCTCGCGAAATTAGAGTTTCGCACAATCGGCTAGTTCACACATACATTTGATGCGCAACAACTTTGACGTTTCAACTCTTAAGAAATGCCCATAGCACAGCGCTGTCTGGCAGGAACAGTCGAGTGTTACACACCAAAAGGAAGTAAAATTTGCAAAATCAGAGCGTGCACAGGCTGAGCGAACAAAAGTTTAACTTGCGAGACACTTGTGAACAAAGCTTTAGACCACTAGACGTAGCCTAGGCCAAGTCACGGAGACAACACTAGCATCAGCGCATAGGCAGATAGATAAATCTTGACATACTTCTTTCGGTATTGCTAAAAGATCAGCTAGCTGCAATCCTTCCTTTTAAGGCCCGTTCACACTCTTGCGACCGAGTACGACTGAGAGAGACGAGATCTCTTACAACTTCTTAAATGTTTCTAGAATGAGGGAACACACTGACATTGTGGCGCCATCTATGCGGTGACCCTAGAACTGCATTTCACAAAAGCGAAGGTTTTGCGGGATTTCCGAGGTCAAATGTGCGTAATACCGATAGAAAGGCTCGTTTATAACATTGACAAAAGCTTTTCGAGCCAAAAAAGAAAGGATATTGCGCGAGAAATAAAAAAAAAATATGCCCGACCGCCGAGTTTACACTGCTTCCCAATAGATGGCGCCAGTGTGTTCTCTGGTTTAAGAAGTTTTAAGGAACCCAGGTTTAACAGGTCGCAAGCAGTCGCAAGAGTGTGAACGGGCCTTTACATGTAGCAACGTGGCTGGAGCATGGCAGATGAAAGCTGCTTATCAAACAAAAACTAAGAAAGACACGAGAAAATTTTCTGCAATGCATGTATACCAGCCCACTTACCTTTCACTGCTACCGAACCGAAGCAAAAAAGAATACGAAACCATGGCTGAATTAGGCAACGTTGATCACATGCTGTAAAAGCTTTATTCTCACTGCCTTGCCTATCCACATTGAGCTGCATCTGGGAAATTGTCAAACTCCTCGCTTTCTGAGTCAGTAACGAAAAGTGTAGAAGAGTGCAGCAACAACAGCGCCTCCTGGAAGAGATAACACCCCCTATGGTTACATAGTTATGGTGCTTTGCAAGAGATGGGGGCGTGTAGCGCATAAAAAAATAGCGTCACACAGTGAAAACTTTTTGAAAAAATTTGTATGGAAGTCGCACCAAGAAAAAATGTTTGAAAAAAAAAAAAAAGCGACTTTGGAAAATACGGTGGTTTCCATAGTGCTCCAATACCATCAAGGCTACTTGTGCTTGCGAGCGGTTTTGTTTGTCATCTCCTTCATGCAAGAGTGCTTCCGAATGAAACATAAGACGAAGCCTCATACTCTCGCAGCAGTGCAGGGCTGCAGCACCATGGAAACTATGCTAACCTTAATAACATAGCACAGAAAAGTTGATGCTTAGCAATGCGATTGCATGTTTAATAGCCGCATTGAAGTTAAGCTTTTTGTCCTAAGCAATCGCAGCTCTTGACATTGCTCTTGGGGCTTTCTCAGTGGGGTATCTCTCCGATGCTAGGTATGGCATGTAAGGTTGTACGCTTATTGTTTCACGTCTGCCATTGTGATCTATTCCAGGAACCTCGTCGAAGCGAAGACGCTATGTGACTGATGAGCGGGAAATCAGAATCCCCCTGGAGCACGGGTAAGTGGCAGCATACCGGCATTTGCTATGAAGAAGTGCAATGATCGCAGTGTCTGAGTGTCAGCAAAAAACATTTCCCCTCCTTTTCAGCTGGCAGAGGCAGACCAGAATCAAGTGTTTCAGCAAGTCTGGTGTACGTGGTGAAGTGACTTACATTGCCCCATGCGGCAAAAAACTTAGAAACTATCCAGAGGTGCTCAGGGTAAGTAAGGATGAACATGTTCGTGGCTGTTGCTTGCGTTTTAGAGTAATTTGTTTCCTGAGATGGTGCTCTTTTTTTTCTCTTACTGGCAGTACTTACAAAAGAATGGCATTGCTGACATTGGAAGAGAGAACTTCAGCTTCAGCTCTAGGGTGATTGTTGGAGTGTTTCTGGAATCCGTCGACGGTGGGGAGAGCACAGACGTAAGTTGAACCGTTTCTTTTTTTTCATCCTCTTTTCTTTTTGTGTGGGGCCCACCTCTTCCCGCTGTCTTTCAAAAACGTCTTTTATTGTTACTCTATCATACAGTGTTAAAGGGGCTACGTTTTATAAATCTACAATTAGCAGCTATGTTTGTGGTGGCTTCATATATTGGCTCGGTGTCACCCAGCACCGACATCATTACCTCAGTGAAGTTATTATTGTCACGCCTGATCTTTTACGGCGGAGCTGTTAAGGGCTAGTTTCCCCAGTTTCGTGTCCGTCACCAAATAAATGTCGACACAAAACTCTGGACAGCTACTGCCATCTATGAGCGACGGCAGCAACCAGACAACTGGCTTGCCGGTTGTCTGGCTGCCACTGTCGCTCATTGATGGCGACCACCTTTCCAGCCTTTCCACTCTGGTTTTCACCAGATTGGAAAGGCTGAATTTCTTGAGGCGTCGTCCCAGAGGTCGTCCTTAAAGGGACACTGACAGGGTATTTATGCTCGCCGAGGTTTTTAGTTGTACGTGACATGTGAGAGCTCGACTACCCAGAACAAAATTTGCGGTTCGAAATTCGGTTTCTTGCCGCCCGAAAACCGCCGATCAAGAACTGGCCGGTTCGAGTCTCGCTCACTCTTTTTTCTGCGGTCACGGACCGTTTTCTAAGGTATTGATGCGACCACCATATTTAATCAAAGTCATGGGTCACTGAAGGCACACACTCAATATTACAAATAAAAAAAAAAAATGAAACCCATTTTTTGTGGCTTCTAAAAAGCTGCAAATCTTGGAGTACAGAACAAGGAGCGGAACAAACATAACTGCAAAAAAATCGCACGGCGAACAGTTACCGTACGCCGCATGTCGTGTCGTCTGCTACGGAGAGAAGAAAAAAAAACAAAAAACCGCACGGTCGGGTGTAGCCACGTGACTTCCGCCACTCACTCTCTTCTTTCCACTTCTCTGATCTCCGTCGGGTTTCGGTTTCGGTTTTGAGCAGTTGCGTCTTTTGGCTTTATTAAAAAAATACGCTACTCTGTTGCAAAATATTAATTGGGTAGTCCTCCGACACCATAATAAAGCGCCGGGCAAAAAATGATAAAAAATTTTTTGGGGGGTGTCAGTGTCCCTTTAAGGTCGTCCTAGACGTCGCCCTTGAGGTTGTCCCAGAGGTCGTCCTCAAGGTCGTCCTAGATGTTATCTTTGAGGTCGTCCTAGACGTCGTCCTCGAGGTCGTCCTAGAAGTCGTCCTAGAAGTCCTTGAAGTCGTCCTAGACATTTTCCTTGCGGTCGTCCTAGAAGCTGTCCTTGAGTTCATCCTAGACGTCATCCTTGAAGTTGTCATAGACATCGTCCCTGAGGTCGTCCTAGGCGTCGTCCTTGGGGTTGTCCTAGACGTTGTCCCTGAGGTCGTCCTAGGCGTCGTCCTTTAGGCGTCGTTCTCGAGGTCGTCCCGCCATGGTACAGCTTTGCTGGTCTTCCTTCTTCACCAGAGTGGAAAGGCTGAAAGTGTTTTTTGTCTTTGGGGTAGAAAAAATGTATGACAAACTGTTTGGTAGGTAATTGCGTTGCTTATGTGAAACGTTCTAGCATCACAAACATTTAGTGACACTCTTTGTTTCCAGACGCCAGATGCCTACAGTCACGGCGCTCTTCATCATATAGACGCTTTCAGCGCGCGCCAGATTGAGCCGCCATAGCCGACCTTCTCTTGTTTTACCGAGATGCCGAGGCACTGAAGCGGGCGTTGACGAGCCTCCACAAAGGCCTATGCTGGCGAGAAGGTCACAGTAACAGTTAAAATGGCAATAACTGGTCCTGCTGTTGTAATGATGAAGTGGAGCGAACGGAATAATACGGAACAAAAACTGAAGGTCAGTTATGGCGGCGCCCATGCACAGCTGCCTGAAAGCGTCTGTAGTTTAACGCGTACCATGTGTACACTTGATAGTTGTTCCTAGAATAAAGCAGGGTGTCGAACCGGAACCGAACCGAAAACCGGAACCGAACCGGTATTTTTTCCGGTACTGAACCCGAACCCGAACCGTTATATTGTTATTGCGATGAACCCGAACCGGAACTGAACCGGAAAAAAATAACGGTTACCGGCTCATGTCAAAACGGTTCGGCCACGCGCTGTTGACAATGAATGTGCTATCAATGCCATTTGTTTTTTAAGTGCCGTCAACTGACACACACCTCGCTTACATATTTTTCTTCTCCACTCAGTCTTAGGAATATAAACGCTGCATCCATGAATCTTGACAAACGCTGCATCCATGAATCTTGACATAGGAACCAGTATTGCGCTGGTCGCGGCTTGCACGGAAAAAAAAAAATTGGAAAGCTGTGCAAAAAAAAAAAAAAAAAAAATCGCGTCACTGGATTTCATTTTTCTACAATCTTGTAAATCCTAAATGCTGCCGTGTGCTCATTTCATAACACGTTTCTAGAACGCGCGAGTTTTTGAAGCTTGCTTCCATCGGAATGAGAAAAGAAAAGGCTGTGGAGTTTGATAATGTTTGAGGGAGAGAAAGAAATTTTATTTACAGTTGAAATGAGCATTCATGAATTATATCTGCTCTTCGCTGCCCCAACCACCGGTGAGAGTATATCGAGCTATGAAGTGTAAATGTTTACATGCCGTATTTTTTCGTACCGGAAACTCGATAAATGCGGGTAAAAAAAAAACGGGGATACATACCCTAGTCGCTCGCGGAGAAGTGAAGCTGCGCGCTCTTTCGAATTTGACAAAGGATCTGCCGAGCTTCTGTTGCTTCCGTCGCCTGCCCAGCGTAGTCATGGGACTCAAGCGGGCGCGTGCGCTCAAACCAACGCTCAGCAGACGCTGGAGTTAGCGCCCGTGACAGACAGCCCTGTCATCAGACAGTCGTTTGCCGCTTGCATTGGCTACAGGCTTTTATAAACGTTATGCACTACTAGTTTCGAATACTTTTCATTTGTTTTCATCGGTGTCCTGCTGATTTCAGATGTTTTATTTGTAATTTAATTTGATGTTGCAATTTGTCATTTATAATTTCCGAACCGGTTCGCGAACCGGTTCAGCGCCCCGAACCGGTTCGCGAATCGAAATAATCGAACCGGAACTGAACCGGAACAAAATAAATTTACCTGAACCTGAACCGTAACCGAACCCGTATTTTTTTCGGTTCGACACACTGGAATAAAGCAATACTTTCGCTAATCGGGCCGATAAACCTGGTGATTTTCCAGAGCCTTCCATACTCTCGAACACCTCTTGGTGCTTGCGAGCACGTTGTAGCAACCGAACCTTCGTCTGTCCAGGGCTGCACGCTGCTGAGCGAGGAGGAGGTGGCAGCGAGACTGCGCGTGGTGTGCGGGCTGCCCCAACCGGCCCTGGCGATGCCCGCCAGCGTCTCCCGCGGGCCCTTGGGGGGTCCGGGGACGGGGCCGAGTTCGGGGGGTTCCAGGAGGGGTCGGCCACGCAGCCGCCCTTCCCCGGACCCCCAGGAGAGGGCCCTGGCAGAGGCCGCCATCCTCCAGCACAGGCGGCTCGAGCAGCAGCACGGTGAGTGCCACCATTTACGTGGTTTTGCTGGCTCCCGAGGAGAACCGTATCACTTGTCCTGCTTTTGGCGTGGACAGGCACTGTACTAGCATGCGCTTGTGGGGCCACTACTGCGTGAAGCACATCGGTGGCTACTGTTGCACGAAAAATCTGATTTTATCTTGTAACTTGCTTGTGATGGTGCAGATCCCACATAACCTTTTCTTTTGAAGATCCCACGAGCAGGAGAGCACTTTGTGAGCTTCCCAACTCCTGTTGTGTTTTTTAGTTTTAAAATATACGCTATTTTCGAATCAAAACAAGCTGTTTTCTGCTGCCATGATCTCTTCACAACTCCGAAACCATGGACTCCCGTCTTGACATTACAATAGTGTTTTGGAGATATACAAAAATTTCAAATAGTAGTTTCAAATATTGCACTATTCAATATTTGCTTCGAGATGAATTATGAATTAGTGATGGACCAAACTTTTGCTGAATCGAAAATTTGGCTCCGAATCTTCAAATTCGGCCAAGCCGAAGTTTTGCCAGAGTTTTCTAAAGATTTGGCAAAGATTGGCAAAAATACATTGTTGCCAGACTTAAAAGTTGATATTTCGCTTTTCGGGCGAAAGAAGTTTTTAGGCTTTTCTTTTTTAATGCATATTGACACAGTTATTACTAAATAGGGTTATATTCTGTAAGGTAATTGTATCGATGTCATTTTCTTCTGTTTGCTGGCAATTTTACAGTGACGTCTTGCACAAGTTGTGCGACAACGAGGTTGGGTAGTAGCGGGCGCGGTTACGATATGCGAGTTTTGGTTTCGAGGCTTCGTCAGTGCAAGCCTGGATATATGTATGTTGTTAGAATAATAGTGGTGATCCTGTATTCTTACTTTCTCTGCAAGTCACCATTTCATGTGCAAAAATGAATGCTTTGGCTGCTGAGCCTTCAACAGAAGAGATAACTGTATTATTGTAAATATGCATGTTTTTCCATTTAAGTCTCCTGACGCCAACTTTTTATGAAGGTCTGCGTCCCATATTGCAACATTTTGTTTTTAGCTTTTAAAATGCCGGTTTCTGATGCTAGGACACATGCGGACGTTTAGAAAGATGAGAAGAGTTAAGAATGTCTGATGTGCAAGGTCGAGCATGATAGTTCTGCGTTTAGTTTATGCGGATAGATGAAAAACTGTGAAATAACGCTAATTAAAAAGCAATATTGTTTTCGCACAAACTACTTGTGGGCCAAAAATAGGATTGGTCTAACTTTGAGGAGTGCTTTGAAGTACTTGTCAGTCAACGTTGCTACTACCACCTCGTTGCTTTACTTTAAAGATCAAATGAAAATCCTGGTTCCAGAATGTACCGCATCACTTGTCACTTGTGCAGTGGGCTGTGTTGGCTGTGTCAATTCCTGGTCGATCTTCTGTTTTGAGGCTGAAATATTGAAGAGAACCTCACTCACAAAGGTTGACAAACACAAAGTTACCGTGTCGCCTACTCCACACCTCGCTGTAACCACTGGTACTACACTGTACGATGGTAACCGCACAACTGCGTGGCGTCCGTTTGCAATCCATGGCCCCGTCGCGTTCTCGCACGTGTGCAGACGTTTGCCGAATTTTTTGCCGAATCTTTGCCGAATTTCCTTTCAAAAGTTTGGCATGTGCCGAACTTTGCCGCATCTGAAGTTCGGCAGATTTGGTTCATCACTACGAGCAATATTAATATTTTCCGAAGTGTCGATTGCGGCGTGTTTGTCCCTTTGAGCGCGCTCTTACCGAGCACGAGTGCGCTGCAAAAAGCAAGCTCCGCGGGTGTTGCTTTCCCGGTGTCCACCGGTGCTCGGGAAGAAGCGCACTCAACAGGAAAACCTGCTGCAATCAACACTTGGAAAACAGGAATATTGCGATTGCGCATGCTTGGGAGAAAAGCACTCTTTCAAAGTGGGATGGTGCACACGTGAGCCTGGTGCATTTAAGAAGAAACAGAAATTTGTGAATGTTGGCATCTACTTTTCGGTAAAAGTTTCATAATTAGACTGGGTGTTATGCAAGAATACATGTTAGTCAGAGATGCCCTGACAACACGGGGTGAAAACAATGTTATGGTACCCGGAGCCCGTCTGACCGGTGCGTTTACCGCGCCCTCAAAAGCGGTCCCTCGATTTCCGCCCGTCGACGTCATAAAGGCGTAATGCCCGTCACGATCCCGATCGTGGCACAGCGGCAGAGGTAAATGCAGCAGCCGGGCGGTCGACCTGAACAAAAGTGGACGCGAGCGGGACGCCGCCTTTTTTGCCGGCATTTCTACGACCGACCGCGAGGTCCCCGACGGCACCAGACGCCGACTCCGTCGACGTCATTTGTCGCCACCTCGGGGCCGCGGCAGTCCGAGGCTCATTTTGTGCACCATAACGACATTCGGGGATCTTACACATAGCATGCCACTTTTGGTTCCAGCCGAGGAAGCCAGGCGGCAGCAGGAGCACGAGAAGTTACTCAAGCAACAGGAGCGTCTCGAGCGGCTGGAGCAGCAGCGCATCGAAAAGGAGCTGCGTGCCCAACAGATGATCGAGGTTTCTAGTTTCTTTCGGTTCCTTCCTTCCTTCTCTTCTGTCGCTCGGGTGTGCGTGTTCCCTTTTCGTAGTGGGCTTTCGTGAGTTTACACCTCAGCCCGTGGTGAGAAACACCCGAAAAATGGCAAGTGGCTCGTTAACCTTCGTCCGAGTCGTCCGATAGGACTTGTCTCGTGAAACCCACGAAACAAGACGACCGACGTCAGCGACGTTGCTTTTAATTCTTGGAAAGGTAACCGTACGATTTTGCCTCTGCTAATTCTGGAGTTGAAAGGTAAACGAATCCCACGTACGGAAAACATGTTTCATGTTTATCCTGTTCTTGATTTAACTCTTTATGGCCAAACCCAGTGCATCTCATTTCCTGCAAAGTGCTAAGAGAGCCAATCACTGTTATTTTCTGAAGTAGCTTGACGTATGGACGCTGTTAATGTATGGACAAAATAAATGTGACTTGTGCTAGCATACCGTGCACGTTGTGTACAGGCTCGAAGTCATCGTAGCATAAATCCAGTTGGGACCTCAAACTTATTGGTATCCCATTTGCTGCTTTCATCGTAGGAATGGTTACGATTGGCTCTCCACACACTTCACAGGGAAGTACACCGGCACATTGTGTTAGGTGGACTAGAATTGTGCAAATGGGTAAAAGGGAGCAATAAAACCCATGCTTCTTTATCTGCCTGTATTAATTAATACCAGTGTTAGGTGCGTTTTTTTTTTCTTGGCTGTCTTAACTGATAGCTCTCAAAGCAGTTTTCTTTGTGATCATGTGCCTCGGGGAGTTGTTTCTGAGGCAGTGGGTGCTTATCTTTGGTCCCGTTCTGCTTTTCGGCCACCTGACATTGTTTGGTTTCCTGTTGGTGTTCTGTTGGACGTGGTCGCGTTGGTTCCCTCTTGCGTGCAAGCATGTGCTGTTTGATTGCAAGGAACCTGGGAAGGGGCAATGTCTGCCCTCGGAGCAGTTTGATGTTGCATGATGGTGTCTCGTTGCATCAGATTCGTCGCAAAAGGAGGGAAGAGTTAGAGAGGCAGCGCCAGGAGGACGCTGTACGCAGAACTCAGGTATTGACGGAAGCAACTTCCCCGCCCCCCTTTTTTTCTCTTTGCACTCTGCAGAGGTTGCGTTTTGTCTGATTTTGTTTTCACATATTTAGATCTGGATGGAGGCTTGCTTGGGCACTCTGCTATAAATTTTGTTGCTTCTACTTTCTGCAGAATAGTAGCACCTCACTGCCTACAGTATACTACGTTCAGGCGATCGGGCTGTTAGGCTATTAGAGCAGCAAAGGCTATGCTTCGTTTCACCTCAACTTGAGAAAGAGCGAACGTCGCGGCCCCTTCGAGCCAATCATGGTGACGAAGACTGAGCATGTGACAGTTCTTACAGTACAGGGGCGAGAGCGTAATCCAAGCAGTTAGAGAAGAGGGGAAGGAGAAATTTCCCTCTTACCCACGCCCTCTTTTGTGTGTCCTTGGCATCACTTTTGCCCCCCTCAAAATTCACACAAAAACGGCTTTCCTCTCTACCCCGATTGTGGCTTTGACAGCACTGCGTGCGACTGGCGAGATGTAGTCACATGTCTCTGTTTGACATGCTGATTGGCCCATGGGACCATAGCCTTTGCATTTGCCAAGTTACAGTAAGACGGAGCTTTATGCACTAGCATAAAGCTTTGTCTGCAATTGGCTGATGTCATGCTACAGTTTGTGCGGTGGCATGAGCTTTTGTGTGGCATTAGCGGATTCCTGTGCATCGAGCATGCTTCGTAACTTTTTCCCCACTGTCGGAGCAGAGTGTAGCAAACATATGACGCATGTTTGGTTTCTTGGCCTTCTGTGATCTCTAAGATGGCGTAGTGGTTCAATTTATGGTTCTCATTACTCTGCCGAAATATTATGTTTTGAGTGTTTCGTGATGCAAATTGTTTTTTTTTTTGTTGATGATGATTGATTTCTGCTAGTGGTCTGCATTTGCATGTTTCAGGGTGATTTATGAGTTACTTTTGTGTTTTATTTACTGCTTCTGCATTCTCAGTATAAATTTCTAAGCTATGACCAAATGTTGTAGTTTCCTTACAAACTTTTTTTTTTGTGCTTGCTTTTTTGCATGTAGGCAAAGATTTTTTTTCTGACTTGTTGTAGATTCAGAAACGTTTTCAACTTCAGTAAATGTGGAGTGTACTATTTTACATGCCTTATTTGTTAAAATATTTTATAAGCACCATGGCCAAGAGCAGAGTTTTGCTCATCACTGATTGTTGTCGATTCAGAGCAAGTGATCAAAGAGCTTTTTTTTTCCAAAACGGGCATGATCCAAACTGAAATCTACATCAACTTTGTGCCAGTTTTAACTTCAATCAGGACTGTAATAAGTTTTGCTTAAGTATATTTTTTTAAAGATGCTTTTTAGTCTTTAGTGATTCAAGATGTGGGAGAACAATAAAATTTCATAGGTAGCTGTGTTCATGCTAAAATGCATACAGTTTTTTTTTAAACAAAAGTTTAGTTGGTGTTTTGGAATTTACTGCATCAAAATTTTAAATATCTTGATCCACCTAAGACATTGTTCTTCTTAAAAGAGCTATCTTATTAAAATTACCTTGTAGGCAGTTTTCTAGTTCAGATCTTTTAGAATATATGTAAAATCTATAAGGGATCGATTCATTCTAAAAGTAAAAAAATGGTTGTTTTTTTTATTCTGCAGTTTACAGATTAATTGTGCATAATAAGCGTGACGAATATTTGATGTGAAACTAGACTTCACATCATTGCAGAATTACCTTGAAGGCAACAGCTTTTTGCTGTGTTATGATCTTAAGTGCCATTCTTTACAAGTGACATACTACTGCATAATATACGGATATTCAATTAAAACTCTGAATGTACATGTTTGCTTAAAGCTCTTGGTTTTACAGCATGTAGTGCTTCAATATTGAACACAAAACCAATTGCTGCAAAGCAGCTTTATATCTACAGCATGTTAACTAACGATTTTAAGGGACTCTAGACGACTTGCAAAAATTGGTTTCTTATTGTACTTTGCTGCGATTTACTACAAAGGTGCAGACAGGTAGTGGAAGTCTGCAGTGAAAAAGGTCAAGAAATTAACTTACCTCCTTCAAAAAAAAGAAAAAAAAAAAAGAAACCTGCTTTGGGCAATTTACACCGCCACTTCGCAGACAGTGCCCGCGTAGTGAGAAGTGCTGCCTACAGATGGCGTACGCCGCGTCGAGAGAACTGAAAACACTACTTGGCCAGGTGGCTCTAGTCACCACCCGATTCAAAGGGAATAGCTACCAGCCATCCATTTATCCAATCATCCATCCATCTGGAGGTCCGGCCGATTGCGTTTATAATAGCAGACGATCCTGCGAAAGAATTATGTTCAACCGGCACTTCCTCGAAGCAGCGTACGCCATCTGTCAGCAGCACTTCTCACTACGCTTGCATCGTCTGCGATGTGGCAGCGTAGATTGCCCATATCAGGTTTTTTAGAGCGCAGCTTTAGGTGCCCGTTTCCGGCTTGAGGGGTGTCTGCGTTCGACGTCGGCGTTCGGCGTCGGCGTTCGGCGTCGGCGTTCGGCGTCGGCGTTCGGCGTCGGCGTCGGCGTTCGGCGTCGGCGTTCGGCGTTCGGCGTTCGGCGTCGTAGTTCGGCGTCGGCGTTCGGCGTCGGCGTTCGGCGTCGGCGTCGGCGTCGGCGTTCGGCGTCGGCGTTCGGCGTCGGCGTTCGGCGTCGGCGTCGGCGTCGGCGTTCGGCGTCGTAGTTCGGCGTCGGCGTTCGGCATCGGCGTTCGGCGTCGGCGTTCGGCGTTGGCGTCGGCGTTCGGCGTCGGCGTTCAGCATCAGCGTTTGGCGTCGGCGTGACGTCACTGCGCACGTGACCCGGAAGACGATGTACGAGTTGACAGGCGGCAAAAACCTGAATCTTTTTCATTTTTTTAAATATAAAAACTAGGGTATCCAGGCAAAATCTGTTTTCTGTAGTTCACTGCAGAAGTGTCAGGCATCAACTTCCACAATTATTTAAGCAAAGCCCTGAAATTGTTGCACAGCTCCTTTAAAGTGCCTTAAGAAGTGTTAGTCTTCATGCTGTACATTTCAGATCAAAACCTTTTTTTTTACTAAATAATCATAGATTTAGTATATTCTTTTTATTGTACCACATGAGAACTTCATTCTTTTCCACAAACTAATGTTATTCAATTTCACATTCTTTAGGAAAGGGAAATGAAGAGGCAACAAGCTGTCATGTTAAGGGAACAAGTGAGTGTTTTCTGTGTCCTGCTTGGTGAGGAACTTACTGACTCAGAAATTCTGAGGTTTCATCTACAAATTGTGCACCTTGTGCACTGCTGCTAAACAAGCACTCAATGTGCTAGTTATTAACTGCAAACACAATTTGATTTCTTGTAGCATTTTCCAAATACATTTGAAAAAGATGATGAACAACTTAGTTAATTTAGAATGTGTAATTTATTGACTATGCTACTAGATCTGACGTGTTCCTTTCTTTGTTCTTCAGGAAATGCAGAAGCGCAGGGAAATGCTTTTGATGGTTGATCTCGTAAGTGTGGGTTTGCTGGTCCTTTGTGCTGTTTTGTTTGTGAATGCCTTTTAGCTAACAGGTAGGACAATACTAGGACAAGTGACATTGCAGTGCACACTAGGTTTCAGATAAATGTATTTATAGATATGTTTGATTTGTACAGTTTCATAGGCTAGAAATGAGGGAAAATATAGGTTCATATTTGCTTTAAAAAGATAGCATAAGAAATGTTCAGTGCCTCTTTCTAACAAAGCTTTTGGCCCAACAATCTTACTTTTGTAGTAGCTGTACGAGGCTTTAATATCTTAGCATACACTTTCTCTGGTTGCAGTAAAACTTTAGCTGTGTCATGTTTGCCATGTTCAAATGTTTTTCTGTACCCAAAGCACTTTGTGCTGGAATTCAGAATGCTTTCTGCTTTTAATGTGTCTACTGTTTGTGATGCAGGAAAGGGAAAGGAGAAGACAACACATGCTTCTTGTACGTGCTCTTGAGAACCGCAAAAAGATGGAGGTAATCAGTGTTCTTTTTACAACGAAGCTGTTTATGGCTAGGGTTCCGTGCATTTTTTATGTGTGTCAACAAAAACTCGCGCGCCCCCTCTTTGTCGTCATTCCAAGTTCTTGCGTTCCTAGTTTCCTTCCGCCCTCCCAAGGTGACGGTCTCGTCGCGCGTGTCTAGTTTCCTCCGGCTCCTTTCGGCGGCAATAGTTTGTACCTTTGTTCAGGATTCCGTGTCACGTCTGTGTCATGTGCTAAACAGCTTCGCTGGTCATCCACCTTCATAGAGTGGAATTGCTCACGATTTTGTCGTGTTACCATGATCACCAAAGTACAATGGGCCTCTTTTGTTTCCTTTGGCATTGAGGAGATACCTGAACTTGCATTCTAATGTTTTGTTGATGGGCTTTTCAAATAAACACACGCTTCTACTCTAATGTTACTACTTTATGTCGGCTTTATCAAGAAATCTTGCTCCATTGCAGTCCCGAGGTACTAGTTATGTTGTAACATGTGGATGAAACAGTGTTTTTAACAGCGTAATATGCACGTGATTCGTGGTTAATTTGTTTGGTCTGTCTCAACTTGCTTCAGGATCAGAAGAAGGTGGAGCTGCAGATTCTAAAGGAAGTCAGGCGGCCGGTGGAGGACATGATTCTGAAGGACGCTCTTGTAAGTGACTGGGGTCCCTCCCTTTGCATGTGTACGAGCTCAAAGTATGTACACTGTTCTCATGTCCCTCTCCCCTTATTTCTCGCAGCCTTTGCCAACATTGAATAGGATACCTGGACTCAAAGTTCCCGGCACTGCATTTGCCAATCTCCTGATGGTGCGGGAATTTCTGCACAACTTTGGTGAGACCCTCCATTTTGGTGAGTCCCTCCATTTTGGTGAGTTTCTAGCACTTCCTCACTATGCCTTACTACTGGGCTGCAGGCTTTCTGGCATTTAATTCTAAAGAAAGTCGCAGATTTGTAATTTTTTTTTTTTGCCATTTGTTTATATTTTGCTAGGATCTATGCACTACTTCAGTGGCATTTTTCACGCTAGCACTTATAATATGCTTTGTGATTTTATGGGAGCATCACGGGCTGTACAAACTTATTATGGACCATTTCATTGAGTGTGCTTCTCTCGTGGCATTGGTGCACTGTGGCTGAGCATTGGTGCATTAATTGCCAATTCCAGTATATTCTAGTATTACAGCTTTTACTTGAACAATCTTATTTCTTTTACATGGTTTTTTGTGAGCACTACACAACTGCTATTGTCTTTAAGGCTGACATACAACATTGGTTTTCTGCAGGGATGATAATCTCTCTGAGTGCTTCCCCTCTCCTAAGCTTCAAGGGGAGCCAAGTTGGGGCAAAGTAAAAAGTGGAGAGGATATAGGAAACAAGGGGGTGGGCAAAAGTGGAATGCACAAAATGTACGTCGGCCCTTAACATAACCTAGGGGAAAAACTACTATAATTATTTTTATGATATCGAAATTAAATTTTTACAGTTTATGGTGCTTATTCTACTCTTTATAAACTGGTGTTAGATTTGATATAGCTTGTTCTTTAGGTTCTCAGTGCAATGTACATGCAAAAAAACAAAAACAATGTTGTGCACACGTGAGGCATGACAACACGCCTAAAAATATGTAGTAAGATAACCTAATTTGCTCCTTTCAAACAACTGAGTGCAATGAACAACAAAAATAATTTGTGCGACCCTTCTTTCATTTTAAAATAATTGAAATTAGAAGAAAAAATGCCATTTCGAGGGGCTAATGAAACTTTTTTAAATTTTTCATAAATATAAAAAATTACATACTAACCAAAATGTAAATAGTTGCATTCTGCTTATTCTAAAGTATATGCATGCCAAATTTGGTTGTGATAGGAAAAATTAAAAACAGACATTCTTGTGCACAAACTTTGAAGATGTCTCAAAACTACAAAAAAAGAAAAACACATTTGAATATTAAAATATATGTGTAGCTGTGCTCTTTCAGAGTGTAGAAAATAATATTTTGTTAATAAATTTTTATGAGAAATTGAAGCTACAGAAAACTGCAATAGAGAGGGGACAGCTAAATGTGGTGGCAGGCGACGTCACAACTTGAAGAACCACGCAGAGAAAACGGCTAAAATTTATGCCGTGCTGGGTTGCCCGGGGGTCTTCAAATATGAAGATTAAAAAATAATAAAACATTATAAAACCTCAAATTACAATTTTTGCAAAATATTGCCGTTTTTCGACCCTTAAGGAAGATTTTACTAGCCATTATTCAAGTCCCTCATTTAAGCCACGGGATTGAAGCCCTTAAGTGCCTTGGACGAGCTGAGCTCGGCAGCCACTTTCTGGCTAAAAATGCCGTGGACGAGCTCAGCTCGTCCAGTGGTTTTTTCAGTAGCCCTCAATTCCACGGACGAGCTAGGCTCGTCCGAGTAGTTTTGCAGCGCTGGTCATAGATGGCAGCACTCGTTTTCGTTGGCAAATATTTTTTTCGCCTCCGCTGATTTTTGCGTAATAAACTTTTCAAAGTTTATGTGTAATACTAAAAGAATAACAATTCAAAATAAAAAAAAAATATGGCACTTTTAGGTCACTTTTGGAAAAAAAAAAAATTGGCACTTAAGGTGTTAAGTTTGCCACATTGGAAGAGCGGTGAGTGACTGGCTGGCCTTCTCCCTCCCAGACCTGGACAAGATCCCCAGCCTGAACAGCCTGCAGCTGGGGCTCATCAACCACGATGTGAAGTCGGAACAGCAACTGCTCAGCGTCGTCCAACACCTGCTGGTGTGCGCCATCCACGACCCGGGGACGCTGCACTGCAAGGAGGTGGGTCACCCGCTAGGAACCTCTACCGGTGGGGTGCGGCGGAGGACACCGGGGGTTTGTTCGAGGACACCCCGAGGTTCCTTCCCGTCTCTTCTTCTGCAGTTGAACCCGCTTCTAACAAATTTAATGGGTATTGGAGTTAGGATAAATTTTTTTTAAAGGCCTAGCATTTAAAAGGTTAGCCTCTGGAATTGTGTGTCCGTGGCATGTAGCTTCGATGGGGTCGCGACGCCTTACGACACGGCGACATTGCGTGACACTGGGATGTCATGTGGCACGCGATGTCACGTGACACTGCGACGGCTTTGTAAGTTCGCTGAACCCTCGCAACGTCCGTTGCCGTAAGGTGTAGGGCGTCCGTCGTCGATGTTGCCAAATGCTCGGAAAAGATAGGCTACTGCCGCGGTGTGGTGAGATTCCGTCCCAGCTTTATTGCATGCGGAGAGGGCGCATTACCACAGAGCTACGCCACAGCTTTGAGAATCGGCTTTATTGGCATTTCGCAACAGTGGCTAAATTCCCAATGAAGCTGATTCAATGCCGGAGTCTCCCGTGACGCCCGCCAGATGGCCACCATTGCTTCGACATTGCGATGGAAAATTCCTTGTTATTCTTAATTAATCCTAAGTTATACTCGAAGTTAATCATTGGAATTAAAAGATGTGGCGTATGCCATCGCCCGACTTGAAGTGTTCAGCCTTACCCATCCATCACTCCGTCTGTCATCACATCGCACCACTTGCCAGGCAATGCCACCTGCACTCGCCTTATCTCGAAAAAAAAAAAAAGATGTTTTGCACACTATTCGTGCACTGCACGAAGTAGCTGTTACAAAATTTGGTAGTCGATAAAAGAAACAATGCTTTTGGACTTGTTTCGGTAAAATGATGGCAAGCTGACCTAGAATTCGCTCATATATATCTATTTTTACCACATTGAGGGGTAAATGCTGTGTGAGAAGCCGGAATATTTTACTACGGTTCTCGAGGCGAATATGCGTATAGAAGACGAGGCCTGCTGCGCCTTTCCCCCAAATGCAGTGTCGGCAACGCCGGCGCTGCATTTGGGGGAAAGGTGCGGCAGCAACAGATCCACACAGTGCCAGCTATGGATCATGCAGCCTTTGGCACATACAAGATTTTTGTCTGGGGGTGGTTTCTGGAAAGTTGGATTACTGTTCTGCGACGGGCCCAGAAAGGGAGAGGGGGGACGAGCAGTAGGGAGGGAGGGAGGGAGAAGTGTTAGAAAGGCTACACAAATTTTTTATTTATTTCTTCCCGAGCTATAGTTTGTGATTAAGTGAACTTCAACGTAGCTGTTGAGATTGCCGTGGTGCACGTGCAGCTTGGAAACCCACCAGTTTCAGAAATATTTCGCCGGCACGAAGTTTTACGATTTGTGGCGTACCGTATTTACACAAATGTAGGTCGACCTATTTTTGAATTTTTGAAAATCTGAAGTGGGGGGGTTGACTTATAATCAAACCAATGCGTTCTACCGCCGACAAAAACGAAACAGTCGTAGTATCAAGAACACCTCAGCTTGTTACGAGATCAGCCGGCTGTACCTGTACCATTGCACTATTCGCAACTCCAACGCCCTATAGGTGGCGGGGCGGTAGTTCCAAGATGGCGGAAGAGACGGGGATAGATTCTCCAGGATATCCCGTGCGCCTGCTCGCTGACGCTGTTCAGCGCGCTAAAAATGATTTATTTGTCTACAAATGCGAAGCGGCTAGGGAGGGATCATATAACAGATGATGGAGATGCCGATGCGCGTTATGAACACGAGCATGCTGATATTTTAAAGTTGCACAAACCTCAAATTGCGAAGCTTTGTGGTGAGCGAGCGCGTTTTAGGCACCGGCCACGTTACTGTTTGTGGCAGAATATTTCTGAGAGGGATGAAGATATGTTTGCGCTTTGCCTGGCCATTAGTGCTCTAAAAAGAGAGCCGCGAACGGTGACCGTCAAGCTTCGGAAGATCAGCATTACACAGTAATGGTGTCTTCGCGTCACAGCCTCTTAAATTGCTGCTCACCGTCTCGGTTTTAGTGTATTGCAACACGTAATCAAACTGCTCTATGGTTATTGATAAAAAGTTTATTACCGCACGCTATCATGCGGTGTAGCATTACAATCGCAAGCTCGCGCTGCGCCTTTGAAGCACAATTTTCAGTGCGCGCCAGAAGTGTTGCCGTGCTTATCACTATAAAAAAAAAAAAAATAAAATGTTTTAGTCCTTACATTTCTTGTCACATATACGACACTCCAAAACTTCAGTTTGCCGTGCAGCCCACTGACATCGCAATGATGGCCCCAACTTTTACGAGAGGCTTGATGACGGCGCAATATAAGATATGAAATAGCTAAAGTATGCATCAAAGAGTACCAAAAAACAAAACAAAAAACACCGAGGTTTTGCAGTAGGGCCAAGAAAACCCAGATTACTTTCTTTTTTTTCTTTACAGTCATTTACACTTACTTAAGCTATTTTAATAAGCTGCACAACTCGGCTATCAAGCCGCTCGTGAAAGTTGGTAGCTCTCGTTGAACGCCAGTGCGCTGTACGTCCAACTGAAGTTTAGGGGTGTCGTACGCTATGCAAAAAACTGCCTGTTAACATAATCGGCATGTTTAAGGGTTTTGTTTATTGCTCTATCAAAAAAAAAAAAAAAATTGTATACCGTACATTTGTTGTACCGTGTTATTTGCAACATTGCGGTCCCTCTGGCCAAAACTGCATGCTGTAAGCTCTCGTCACAAACGGATGGCTAACGCAGACGCGCTTAAAATGCGAGCATTTCTTTATTTGCTTCGTAATTACCTGAAAGCAAGTACGGGTATTTTATCTTTTTAAAGTGCTTGGAATAAAAGGTCATGTTTTTTGCAACGGCCTTAAAACGCGAACCCATTCCCGATTTGTATTGCTCGACATACCCTTGCGCGACGAGTTCGCTCCTGCTTATGGCAAAAAATAGACTTTCCGTAGACCATACTATAGAGTTCTTCATTACTAGCGGGAGCGTTTTCTGTCATGTTGAGCACTGATTGAGCTGGCGGCCATGCACAAGACCAGAAATCCGCAGGGTATGCGATGCACGAAAGGTCTCTAATGAAATTATACCTTTCTGTCCTTTGTGCAAGGCTGTTGCAAGGCGCAGCACAAGAATTCCTTTTTTAACGCGCTCACTTTTTTCATTAAAACGGCTTCACGCATCAAGGCCAACAGTCCCTGTCACCGTTTCCGCGCCACCGTCACCGCTGCCGTCCCCGCTCCTCTGGTTCTCCGTTCGTCCGCGGGAGGGTGAGCGGCGCGCTGGAGTTGCGAATTCTGTGCGCTCAATTTACAATTTTTCTTCTATTTTTTTTTATTTGTGCGCACGAGTATTATTGATAACGATTTGCAAATTAACCCGAATGTAGGGTGGTGAACAGCGCACGGCGCACACCACTACTGGGGGTGACGGCGCTTCTTGTAAGAGCCACTCCGGAAGCCACTGGAACGGCCTCACGGCTCACTTCCCGCGGATTTTTTTCACAGTTTTTCACACGATTCACGGTCGCACAATGTTTATAGAGTGTCGAGATCATGCTAGAGAGCTAACAACTTGTTTTTTGTGTTGACACGCATGATATGGGCAGTTTAGGTTTCCGGTGCTCGTTTGTGGCCATTCTTCACCCAGAAGCAACCAACAGCTGCGCTGTTGGACGCAAGTTCGACCCGTTGGAGTGGGTGATGCTTCAGTGGAGTCTGCGATGGCGCGGAATCTGAACTGTGACGGCGAACGAAAAATCTTTCGCGGGCCAAAGTCTGGATAGGTGGGGATGCCTTGCGGAGTTGGAGGTCAGGCTTGCAACGTATGCCGCAAAAGTACGCAATCGATCCTTACCCGTGACGTGCAACGCGATCGCCGAGCAAGCACAGAAGATGCAGTTGATGCTGTCATTTGCAAAGTGGGAGATTTCGTTAGATGGCGCCGACGACGTGCTTTGAGAACGTAGTAGTGATGACGACGGGACTGGCATCACCAATGAGGACGAGTCGTAGTCTAGTCACGGACGGAGTGAGAACGGCTGGGAGCAGCTTCAGATGTCCCGCCTCGTGCGTGAGCTTCCTTGTTTCGATAACGTCTGGGCATCTCATGCACCTCGCACGTGCATGCACAGCCAAAGAATGACAGAAGGCATCGATCGCGTGTTGGAGGCTGGGCTTTCAAAACGTATACTCTGCCATTCTCACAAGTTCTCAGTAAAATCCGCATCTAATTTTTTTTTGCTGATGTGCAGTGGGGGGAGGGGGGGGTCGACTTACAATCGTATACATATGGTAGTTGTTGCCGTGGGGTGAATTATTTGCGACACAAATTTTTCGTGATTACTTTCAAACTGCGAAATTGGCGAAACATAGTTCTTCATGAAAACCAAGTTGTTTACCATATACTCCGTACCACGTAACTTCGCAAACGACAAAAGCTACGGCTCTTGCAACCCACTGCTAGCTGTCGGAGCCAGCCACTTGTCCTCCTTCAGTCACCCCTCGGACAGCGGCCCAAACCCCTTGGGTCCCGGTGGTGTCCTTGGCCAGTTGGACTAGGTGTTCATGCACCTTTAGGTTGGTGCAGAGGAGTAGAGCTTCCCAGCTCTGTTGGCTGTTGATTTTCTCAAGAAGGGGTTGAGTCTTCCGATCAATCCAGCTGTATTCCCCCATCATTTGTCGAAAGTTAGTTTTACCTCCTCGGAGCTTGTAGGTTGGCTTGTACTTGTCTGGATACCACTTGCTCAGTAGGGAACGACTTGGGTAAGAGCCCGTCTGGAAGCGACGCCATGCAACTGATGTTTTTATTTAAATAATTTAAATCATCTTGAGCAAAAGAAGAAAAAAATGTTCAGTAATATAACATAATATCCCAAATAATTGTCCACCCCCCTGCCGTCTGAAATTCATTAAAAAAATCCAACTGGATTCCCATGTCTCAGTGGATGAACACAAAAAAGTAAAAAAAAACAACAAAAAAACACCAATTTTTTTGTGCATATCTAGCGTGGCTCCACAAGAGGCATATTATACTCGAATCTTGAATTAGTTTCATTGTTTTATGCAAAAGATGCTCATAAAACAATGTTTTACTATCGCAAAGTTCCTTACTTGCATACGCGCTATGAACACCGCCGATCGGCATATTGCGCGAACGTCTGTTCCATGAAAACATGTTTCTAACACTGCTACGTTCTTGTTAGTAAAAAGAAAAAAAGAAAAAGTCCTCAAGAAAATAGAAGAACCAAATAGAAGAATGTGCTGATGTCAGCGTTTCAAATCAATGGGAGCGTCACAAACGTTGGCCTCTCCTTCTCCTTCTCTCCTGGGCGCTCACAAACGGAAGACACCGCCGGATTATCGTCGCAACCATCGTTTTAATGCTAACGCATTAAAATAAAAGGAGCTCTAAAGGGGTTTGTACTACCAACCCCCCCCCCCCCCTCCCTTGGTTGGTGCGCCACTGCATGCAGCGCCACCTAGCTTGCGTCGGCAATGATGCACTGTCTCGTAGCGTCTCGCACGCGGCGACTTTTGTAGACCTTGGACGCGTTTGCCGCTTGGGACGGGTCGGAGATCCACTACCGACAACGTCATCGAGAGATTTCTCCGTTAAACTTTGCGGTGTGTGAACGCGACACCGATGCCCAACGACTTTGCCGTGTGACACGTTGCAGCTGTATTGTGGGTTTATGCAGGACTGATAAATTTTCTCTGATATTTCTCTATTCCCGGCTGAGTTGGATGCGGCTGTATGAGGCTGCAGGCAGGGGATCATGTTTTAGTCAACTAGGGAAGGCTCAAACCCGCAAGGATGCAGGAACTTGAAATATTTGTAAAACAGTACCTTCAGTCTAATAATCGTGTTAACACGAAATGCCCAGCATTTTTACTAGTTGCTTTCGATAGAGTGCTTTCTGTGGTACCCCTCGTAAATTCTTATAGAGTCGGTCTCGTTTTATGAGTGCAGCGCATGCTTATAAGGTTGATCTGCTTTTCAGGCTGTGACTGTTCTTGGCCAGCACCTCAAAGATGCTCCAATCACCAATGACAGCTTGACTGAGGCCTTGCACCTGTACTTTATGGCCCTGGATAAGGAGTGTGCTGTGAGTAAATGCCTTTGTTTTCAACTCAGTTATAGTGCTCAAAAGTACTAACTCATTAGCCAAAAAAAAAAAAAAAGTGTTGTATTGCAGTAAAATCTTGTTTTAGTAACTTCGCATAGAGTAAAACTTCGGTTGTAGTAAAAGGAAGCACTGGTCCCAACTGGATTTCCATTTCCTCTATGGCATAAAAATCAGATATAGTAAACCGTCAAAACTCAGAATACCTGCTATAGTAAAACACGGCAGTACCGATGAAGTGTTATTTTCCCTCAACAGCATACTTTCTCTTTGGCTCGGTGCAGATTGACTCTTAGACACTCTAAAAGTGTGCATTAACTACCAAAGTTCTACAAGCTACTGTGCCGTCGTACGATGACAGCTTTCTGAGAGTGCGTCAGTGGTGCTGTGGTCGCTCGCAATTGTTTCCATTCCTGGGGGTCCACGATCGTCTGCCACAACAATAACATAGGCCTAACGAAGCCGAGAAGGTGCCACTTTTTTTTAGTGTTCAAGAATGAACAGCACGTCACAAATGCTCTGCATTGTAAGTGAACTACACTCGTTCAAAAAGCAAGAAATGACTAGTAGAGAACGCAGTTCCCTAGCAGCAACAGGCAGGCAGGGAACTGCGTTGGTCGTCATTGGAAGTTGGGCAGCAAAGGTGCCATTTTTGACGCGACCGTTGAATAATGGACCAAACAAAACCCAGAGAAAGAACCTGAACCCACTCCTACAGGCCGTGAACTTTAATTGGCTTTGGACTGTCGGGGGCTCTAAATTCAGCAGCTGCTAAGGGGCAATGCTATGCTCACACAAGCCTCAAGAGCTTCTTTATGAAGTACAAAGCACCTGCAGAACAAACTGATATAACTGATTTCTTTCCTGCAACATATTTTTATAGTCGTGGTGTTTGTTTTTGGACTAATAAACATTTTATTATTTTCCATAAATTTTTAAAGCTTCAGTAACAGATTTTTTTTAAGGTGTTTCCAATATGGTAAAGATTACTGCCCGGTCCCTACAGGTTTACCATAAAGGGGCTCTTCTGTATTTACATTCTAAGACTCATTTTGAATAAGGAGCATTTCTAAAACATGTATTCTCGAGACGTTGACCCTGAAATGAAAACATGCTTTGGAGTCGCTCAAGTGTGTCTCGCTATGTAAATTTAGTAATAAAAGTTTTTTCGGGGAAAGTTTATTTTGTCACATGCCCAAAAAAACAAAAAAAATATTTTTGGGAGTCCAGTGCTTTTAATTGAAAGAATGGTATACAGTCTAAGCTTGTTATAACAAACCTCGATTCTGACCAAGATTTCAATCTGTTGTCAAAGGAGTATGTTGTATGCATATATGAAGTTGAGTCAATTGTATGTAGACGAAAACCAACCAAACTTCACAAATCGGTATGTTATATCCAAATGTCTGTTTTAATGAGCTTAGACTGTAGTCTCATTGGGCAATCCTATTGTGTTTAACCATGTCTTTTGGAACAATGCTTTTCTTTTTCTAAATAAAATGAATAAAGCTCTCAGCCTTTCCACTCTGGTGAAGAAGGAAGACTAGCGAAGCTGTACTATGGAGGGAATGAAGTATTGGCCGATCGCAAGTTAGCAAGCCAGAGTGGAAAGGCTGGAAAGGTTGCGCCTTCTATGAGCGACGGTGGCAGCCAGAGTTTTCTGTCATCATTTGTTTGCTGACGGACACGATACTGGGGAAACTAGCCCTTAACAGCTCCGCTGTAAAACATGGAATAAATAGCTAATGTCCTGTGATTCGTTATATCAGATGTATCAGTGGGTCACCGAGAAGCCTTTCCTGGCGTTGAACCCGACCCAGAAGTCTGAGATCCTGGCTTTTCTCTGCAACGAGCTTCTGTGCAGCCGGGCGGTGGTTCGGTAAGAGTTTTCTTTTTTTGTTTTTTCCCTTTTGCTTTGCTATTCTCTTTTTACACAAGCAAATAAAAAACATTCCTCTCATTCACCGACTTCACACTTTTGTCATACTATAGGCAAGTGGACACCAGTATTGAAACCGTGAACACCCTCAGAAAGGACAAGTGGCTGGCTGAAGGGGAGCTCAGGAAGTGAGTTGCATTTCCCTGTCATTCGTTTCCGCGGCTTGCCTTTTATCTCGGCAATTTTGTTTCAAGAGGCCACACCTTAAATGATGCAACAGAACTGAGAAATAAACAATTATAGTATGCTATAGAGGGTTCTTGTAGGTTGAGGATAGCTGCGAGACTTTGTTCTTATTAAACGAAATGGTTCATTGTCATTGCTTGAGAAAGTAGGTTTGTCAGTTTAGCTAAATTTTTTCAGAACTATAGGCGATAAAATCTATGACTGAAAAATAGTGCTTTTGTATAGCTTGAGACTGCTTTCTTTCTTTGCTTTTTTTTTTTGGAGTATGTAAGCTATGTAGAAGAAGAATTGCCTGGCAATTATAGCCTCATGTAATTACTCTTTGAATGGTCTCTTGTGACAGGTGCATTTCAAGAGGCAACATTCATTCAATAACTTCAGATATCAAAATTGTTTCATGGAGGTTTTTCCACTGGGAAGTTAGTCTACTGCATCCAGTGTCTTCACCGAGGATGGGCAATTTATCATTGTGCAGCAGGGTTATACCACCGTAGGTGCTCGCTCCTACGGAAACTGGGAGTGGTGGGGACCAAACCTGAGGACTGGTCTCCATGCTCTGGAGCAAGAGCTTTTGCTCCACATATCCCAGAGTTGAGGTGTGCAAAGTTTTTGAATCGAGGGAGGGGGGTGGGTGGGATAGGGCAGCTAAGCACCGGTCTCCCCGACTCTGTAACCTTGTTAGCTGTGTTCGAGGCCCACCGGTCATCTCGGATGTCTAGCCGCATTTTTTGCGCAGTTCATTCGCTCCCCGCTCGACGTCTGCCCGGCTGTGTTTTTTTTGCAACCAAGGCACGCTCGTTGCGTTAGAAGAGACCCCGCCTCCAAAGGCATGCCCGTGGCCGTTCCTCCCCGCAGGCTGAGAGGCATACAGCAGGGCCGTCAACGCAAGGCCATCCTGAAGCAGGAGCTGGAGAACAACAACAGCGGCGCCAACAGCAGTGCCGCGGGCAGCCAGAACAACGGCGGCGGCAGTGTTTCGGGGGTGAGCGCCAACAAGGACAAGGAGTCCGAAGAGGGCAGCATCAAAGGGGACACGCCTAGCGAGGGGGGTGATAAGGCCAGCAAGAACGGCCGGGAAGAGGAGGAAGAGAACGAGGACGGGGCCAACGACAGTGGCAACGAGAGCGACGACCCCCAGGAAGTGGAAAACATGGACGAGGAAGAGGTGCGTGTCCCTCTCCCTCTCCTTCCCAAGACATTTATGTGTCCCACTGTGCAAGAGCTTTGCACCTCCTTTCGTTTGTGTTTGAGCACATTGAGTGCATACCGGGCCGTCACCAAACTGAATCGGTGCTCACTTGGCCTGTGTGGTCTGTGTTCCTTTGTGCCTCTCTCTTTATAGTGGTTTCTCTTTTGCCTGGTGTAGATTTTTCGCGAACAAAGGGTGCAGTCAACCGCGGCCGCGACAAAGACGACGGGATTTGGAAATGTCTTTTCTGAATCCGGAGTTTGTTGTACCTGGGGCTTTAAGACAATGTGTCTTTTTAAGCGCATGGCATCTCATAATTAGATGGCATAGGATTGCGTAAAAGCTAATGTGAATATTTTTTTTGTAAATTTTCGACACAAAGTAGCTACAATAAACCCACATTTCTGTTTATGATGCTAGCCGACATGCATGCTGGCATATATTGTAAGCGAGCAGATGTCAAGGTGTCTGGAGGTGTGCATCTCCTGTGATAGATTTTACACTGCAGGAAAGAGCTGTAGGTATGAAGGATGCACTTCTTCCTGTAGCACAGCTGGAGAACATGTCATTGAAATACAGCAGAACTTGATTGATACAAGGCTGCAGAAAAAGTTTATAACCAAAGGAAATGAAACAGCTGATAATGCCACTGAACAGGAAGAGATGCAATAGGAAGGTACCCGCACGGAACTAGGGGGTCCAAAAGTAAACATTAAACGGTCAGCATGCTTCATAGGGGGAAATACATTGGGCTGTAAAAGAGAGCCACGCTCCTTGGCCAGCATGCTTGTGCACTCCAGCAAAAGTGCTATGCTTGGTGAGCTAGGGAATTGCTTTCTATAACTTCTCCTTGCAGGACGCAAGGTGTGTAAACTGCTTGCTTAGGTGTGTAAACTTACCCAGTTTTTCCGCGATGTTGTCGAGGACACATGCAAGAAGGGTGAGCGAGCCTGTGACGCTTTTTGCAGTGAAGCAGAACTTGTCGAGTGCAAAGCAAAGTGAACTTTCCCCATGCAGTCTGCCCAGCGCCTGAACGTGCTGTGACATAGGACAATAAGATGTTTTCGTTTCCACTGTAATTATGGCACTTCAGTTTCTAACCAATTTCACGAAAACATTTCTCAGTTTGTACAGTTTAGCTCTTATTTACCCGTGGTGCTGCTTTTAGCTTGGTTGTCAAAAGTGGTGTAGAATTACATTGGAAGGGTACCACCAGGACCGGGCAACAAAGATTTGTTTGTTTTAACAGAAATTTAGCTATTTCTGTGTTTGATATAAGTGGGTTCAGCTGTACTACTGGTGCTGCTTTCATGATTTTACTAGTTGAACTAACTTGTTTCTCAAAATTGGCTGTTGTCCTGCTTCTAAAGTACTCGATTTCTTCTCGTTTTCAGGACAGTGAACCGAGCCTGACAAACGAAGAATTGGAAAAGAAAATCGACAAGCTTGCTAAGGTCTGTTGGTTCTAGTTTGGTTTCCCCTCTTGGCCCTTTCTTCGCTTCCAAATTTTCAAATACCTGGCTCATTCGATTTACCTGCGCCCCTGGCACCAGCTGCGATCGGTGCACATCGCCGTATTTGATTTCGGAGTACAGCCTATCTGAAAACACTACTGGAAGTACATAGCCCTGCACTTTTCTGCACCACACTACGCTTTTCAGCACCGGCACAGACTGGTGCAGGTAAATTGAATGAGCCCGCTCATTCACTTCTAGGTTTGAGCAACACAGCAGCTAGAACTTTTGTGCATTTCCAGCTTTTTCAACTGGTGCCTCTTCGTTAATCGCGCTTCTTATTGTTGATTCCCAACCCCTTGTCTCTGACTGTTGCCAGCCTTCTGCAGAATTTGCCTTGTACAGAGCGTCGATCCTCAATGCACGACCGTACAAAGCTCTGCGCCCTCATTCTTGTAATCGAGTTTGCCGTTCTCTGCCGACGAACTAAACCTGACGTTGTTAGTCTTCTTGCGCTCAGCAACAGGCGCAGTTCCAGAGCAAAGTGGCAAAGGCGAGCAGCAGCATCCGGGCCGTCATGCTGGGGCAGGACCGCTTCCGGCGGCGCTACTGGCTGCTGCCCGTGGCGGGCGGCGTCTTCGTCGAGGCCATGGAGTCCTGCGAGCAGGACGGCATGGGGGACTTTGTGGCCACCGACTACATGGCCGACGAAGACGAGGACAACACTAGCGAGGACTCATCGCTTCCCAAGAGCAAGGCCTCTGTCAAGGAGGAGGGGAAGGAGACTCCGGCGGAGGGAAGCCCCAAGATTCCCAAGGAAGAGGTGGCCACGAGAGAATCCAACTCGGCCGAAACCCCCGCTGCTTCCGCTGGCAAAGAGGAGGATGTCAAGGCAGAGACCGAGGTGAAGGCTGAATTGGAAGAGAAGGCCGTCTGCAAGGACGAAGAGGACGGGAAGGTCGAGGAAGCGAGCAAGGTGAAGGTGGAAGAGGGGGCTGCGAAAGAGCCGCCGGCGCCCGTCACCACCACATCTGCCGCCACGCTGTCGGCCATGACGCTGTCCACCGCGTCACTGCCGCCGCCTCACAAGTCGAAGAGCCCCCTGCCGGAGCCGACCTTGGAGCAGAGCTGGATGATGCACTCGCCCTTCTTCGCCTCCATCATTGCAGGCAACATGCTGTTCAACAACGGGTCGTTCCCGTCGTCGTCTCCGTCTCCGCAGCTGGCCGGGGGCAAGGAAGGGGCGGCCCTGCTGGAGGGCTTCCCCTCGGTGTCCGCGGAGCAGATGCTCAAGAACCTGGCCCAGAAGCGGCCCAAGCCCTGGTTCAGTGTGCTGCCCCGCATCCCCTGCGACGAGGAGTCTGTGGCGAGGCTGCCCGGCACCGGCAAGGACGGAGACGACGACGACCTGGAAGAGGAGGTCGTGCTGCTGGGGACTCCGGGTGCGCGGATTGTGAGCATCATAGAGACGGAGGACACCACCAACCAGCACGACAAGGCCCAGCCTGTGCCTCTGGGTACATTTTCTTTTCATTTTCTTAGCGTAGTCTGTTTGGGAGTTTGCTTCTCATTGGTAGGGAGTGAACAGCAAGTTATTCTTGACCTTTCAACTGTCCCAATTCTCTCGTGTTGTATACTGTCTGGCCCTTTTTCACTGTCAATATGGTACCTTGTGGGTGTCACTGGCAGTATGGTACCTTGTGGGAACATGAGGTAGGCAATGTTGCTGTGGAAGTTACGGTCCTTAAAAATATAGACGGAGGAAAGTTGATTGTGAAAAAAATGAAAGAGAAAGTATGGCATAAAAAAAATGTTATCGTGACTTTATTACGAGTATGCAAACATAACGCGGCTCTTTGACAAGTATGCATTTGATATGGCCAGAAAGTGGATGCACATCCTGGCCCACCCCAAGGCTGAAAATTGCTTTAATTTAATTGAAAAAGATGTAAGGTAGGAGCTTTGTGTGGGTGGACCCATCATTTCCTTTAGGGTGGAAGGTGTTTCAAATAGGCATGGGGTCATCTGCTTTCTTGGCTCCAATTATTGGCTGACAAATTTCAAGGGCTGGCACAATCTCGCCACATGGTTTTCCTTTATTCTGGGTTTGGTTTTGTGCTTTCCATTGTGCGTGCGGGTCAAACGGAGTTAGCACTGCGAAGAGTCGGCCCGCTGATGCTCGGTGTCTGATGACAGAGTACCTGCGGGGCTGGTGGCGCATCACGGACTCGTCCCAGCTGCGCACCCTCATGGCTGCCCTGCACAGCAACGGCATTCGAGAGAAGGCCCTGCTCAAGCAGCTCGAGAAGAACTTCAACTACGGCCTGACCGCCTGCATTCCCAACAGCCAGCAGGGTGAGGGACCAGGTTTCCGTGACCCTTGGAAATTGCTGCTTGTTTCTGCAGTAGAGACGTGCCACCTATAGCTGTGTGTGTGGGAGCATGTGATGCAGCTTGTTTAAGTGTTCCTGTTTAGGTAGCTTGTTTTCTTATAGCAGTGGTTCTCAATCACTGGTGTTTTGGGGACTGCTTCTGGATCGGCAGAAGTGATGGGGGACCCCATCTACCGAGAAGAGGGGTTGGAAGATGGCAACAACTGAAGTAAACTTTGAATCTCGAAAATGGAGAATAATCAACGCTGGGGGCACTAGGTGCACATGGTTCGGTCCAGTTAGCTATGTAGGACTGCTAACGTCAATAAAAAAATCACACGAGTGCGCTTAAGACTGCTTGCGTGTAGGAAAGTGAAAGCATTATAGTCCCGCAGGAGAAATGTTTTCGAGTAACGTTTCTACACGTACTAAAGTTTAGGACAACGTCTAGGACGACCTAAGGGACGACTTTTAGGATGACGTCGAGAATGATGCCTAGAGGACTATGCATAGAACGACCTTAAGGACAGCGTTAAGAACGACATCTAGGACGACTTCTAGAATGACCTCTATGACAACTTGTAGGATGATGTCGAGAACGGTGCCTAGAGGACAACACCCAGAGGAGGACACGAGGCTGTGGCGTATTTGCATGTGCGGCCACGTTGGCCTGCAGAAGCTGTCGTAGATATAGACGCTGCTGCCGATGTTGAGGTCGTAGATGTAGACGCGGTTGCCTCACAGTATCGCATGAAGCAGGCAACGAGCACAGATAGTCTGAAGCGTACCTTTTGTGCACGGCGCTCCAGCGGTGACACAATGCTGATGATGTAGGATGATATTTGATGACATATTTTTACAGCGGAGCTTCAAGGGCTAGTTTCCCCGGTATCGTGTCCGATACTGGGGAAGCACAAAACTCCGGACAGCTGCCGCCATCCATGAGCAATGGCGGCAACCTTTCCAGCTTTTCCACTCTGGTGTTCACCAGAGTGGAAAGGCTGAATTTCTTTAAGCTTCATTCTAGAAGTCGTCTTTGAGGTCGTCCTAAACGTCGTCCTTGGCGTCGTCCTAGACATCGTCCTTGAGGTCGTTCTTGAATTCGTCCGAGAGGTTGTCCTCGAGATCATCCTAGAAGCCATCCTTGAGGTTGTCCTAGACGTCCTAAAAGTCGTCCTTGAGGTCGTCCTAGACGTCGTCCTAGAAGTTGTCCCTGAGGTCGTCCTAGACGTCCTCGAGGTCGCCCTAGAAGTCGCTCTTGAGGTTGTCCTAGACGTCGTCCTTGAGGTCGTCCTATACGTCGTCCTCTAGGCATCGCCCTAGACATCATGAAAAGATAACAGCTTCGCTGGTCTTTTTTCTTCACCAGAGTGGAAAGGCTGAAAGTTTTTTATGGCAATATTTTGGTCACAATGCTGACGACGTTAGTTTTTCACATAATGTGACAAGTGAGGTTGTCCTAGAGGTCTATGACAACTTCTGACGCATGCCGATTGAGCGCATGCCGCTCAATCACATTTTTATGGCCATTTTCTCCCTATTTTCGCTCAGTGGAACAAGTAAAGCTTTAGCCTTTAAAATAGTTTTAAGGCGAAAGCCTTACTTGTACCATTGAGCGAAAACGCGGCGTTGTAGTGCCCGAAAGATGGTCATAAAATTGTTATTAAGCACGCGCCACTCAATTGTATGCTCAAGCTCAAGGACAACGCCGTCTTTGGCGTTGTCCTAGAGGTCTTCCTAGACGTTGACGTCCTAAACATCATCCTAGAGGTCATCCTAAACGTCGTCCTTTAGGTCGTCCCTGGCATCGTCCTAAACGCCGAGCTCGACGTTGTCCTAGAGGTCGTTCTAGACACCATACTGGGCGTCGATCTCCAGGACGTCGTCTTATACGTCGTCCTAAACTTTAATATGTGTAGAAACATTACTCGAAAACATTTCTCTTGCGGGAGGTAGCTATTGCCTTCCTATGCGTAAGCAGTCTTGAGTGACCTGTCATTTTTATTGTTCGGCTTGACTGAGTTGAGGTCTTTGGGGATCCTAAGGGGGCCTTCAGAGACCCTGAAGGGTCTGCAGACACCCATTTGAGAACCATTGCCTTAAAGCATATGGCTGTGCTGGTGAATTGTGCAACTGCCAGACAGAAAAGAGAAAAGCCACTGTATTTATGTTTCTGTTTAAGAGAAGAACATATTTGTGCCTTTTCTGGGCTCATAAATATGTGTTATAAGTGGGATTCCGTGTTTTCGGTGAATACCGATAGACCTAAAAAAAGTATTGCCCCCTTTAATCGTACTGTCCTTGAATAACGAAAAGTTAAGCTTGGTGGGAAGAAACCTTTAGCTTTGTTTTGTGTTAATCCGAAGTGTAGTCCTGCACTGAACTTTCTGTGAGGCCTTGTTCGAGGACCACACCTTGTATCTCATTTCCTTCTCTTATCTGTGCTGGGACGTTTACCAAGTATTCTGTTTCTTGAAGGCTAGGGAAAGCCCCAATAAATGGCAACCATTGTTTGACACCAAAAGACACAAAACCTCGAGGAAAAGAAGTAAAATTCCAAAAGAAACCCTGAAAACATGGAACCCTGGTAATAAGTGGTTGCTGCATCATACCGACCTGACTCCCGTTGCTCGTGTCTCGGCTCGTATAGAATCTGACCTGCTTGACGCCGGCGGCGGCATGGGGACAATTGCAGACGTGGGCCTGGAGATCACGGACCTGGATCGGGAGGTGTCCGAAAAACACGGGGGCGCCCCCCCGCCGGACTACGAGGACCAGTGGTCCCCCGAGGTGGCCCTGCGGGTGGACCTGGCCATCTTGGCACAAGTGGAGGCCCTGGAGCACAAGGTGCTCGGGGCCAGCATGCAAGTCAAGGTGGGCACACTCCCCCTCCCTCTCTTTCGCTCGCCTCCAAGTACTGCAGGTGGTCAGAGCGACACCCATATGTGAGGTAGACCCACACGAAATGCGAGGAAGACATTTTAGTCTCCGTCCTCGCCAAAGTTTCTGATCTTGTCGTATATTGAAATGGATCTCAATGTTATACAGTGTAGACCGCATATAACGTATGTCGCGGGAGTCGCGAAAATCCGCACTATAAGCGGTACCGCGTTATAACCGAAACATCAATTTTTCAGGCCAAAATACATGCCATAAGACAACTTACCTTTGCAGGGGTGGAACGGATGCGCCACTTGCGCCATTTTGCGCCAGACGCATATGTCTGCGCCATCCTGCGCCATGTTGCAGAAACTGCGCCACAGCCAATACCTCGCGCCATTATGCGCCAGATCGCAAAACATGCGCCAAGAAACTTTTTATTATGTCTTGGTTTCGGTTTTATTGACTCGATTGGCAACAATGAGCGCGTTCAGCCTGGTCGGCCTTGCAATCCTTTGTTCTGTTTATTCTCCCTGTGTATCCCGAGTCGGAAGCGCGCGAAAAAACTCGGATTCTAAGCGCCACACCACCTGCGGCTGGATTGTTATTCTTCAACCATAAGCGGTTAAGCAAGTTGGCTGAGGTGAGGTCGAGTCGTTAAGCGTCAGATTGCCTGAGGCTCTGCGGCCCGGGATCCGGACGTCAGCCAGTTGAAAACAAATGAGCAAGATATTCCTTTTAGTACTTCGTCGTTAGAAGTTGGAACCGCATTCTCGCAAGATAAATCGTGATTTGATTGAACTGAAACGCAGTCCGATCCGAAACCTTTCCGGCCAGCAGCTCTTTTGCGAGTGATAGATCTGCTCGGCGTACTTTAACCTTGCTCCTGCTTATCGCTTCAAATACGATAACTACGTTAATTGTAGTCTGCTGCTTCGTAATCGAGTTGCACAATAGGATAAACGCGAAATTTGTTGCCCTGTTCCTCCGTGCAACTGCACGTTCATTGCTTGCGCACGTCACGGGGTTTGCACATATAATTACTATGTCGAGCACGTGTGGATTGTGCGATAAGCAGTGGTGGTTTGCATTTTGAGCAGCTGAAAGCCGCTCGGAAAATATCAAGGACGCTATCTTGAGAAACAGGGTACTGGCTTTATGATTCTCATTAAGGCTCACAAAGTTTCAAGTTTTCGCATCTGTTACACCCATCTACCTAGGTCCCTAACCATTCATGTTCATCTGTTCTGCTAAGTACGATTGAAATTGCTCCCGTGCTTGTCTAAGACACAAGTTGAAGTGCAATGAAAACTGATCTGAGCTGCTCCTAGCCTGCTCCAGAACGTAGTTTTAGCTGCTCCCAACCTGCTCCAAAACAGCTGTTTCAGCTGCTCCCATGGCTGCTCCCAGGTACATTTCATGAGTTCCACCTCTGCTTTGTAAAAGAATTTATTTTATGTTAGATGAAAAATAAAGCTTAGTTTGAGGAAAGTCTTTATTTCACCAGACTAGTACACTTCTCTCTCAAGTGTGTCACACATTTTGAAAGAAATGAGCGGCTTTTGCCTGGCGCAGCCTTTTAGCGGCGTCGCGGGTTGCGAACGGACGTCGCGAGCGTTCAGGATTGCTAACCCTAATCACTCTTCTATGGAGATGAAAACGCGTGAAAATTCGCATCCTTCATACGGTACGCGCCAGTAATACCTTGAACTTGAGCACACGCATGAAATGCGCCAAATAAGAAATCCGGGCGATGTTCGAGGACACAAATAAATCACCACTGTAGTCGAAGTAAACAAACACGACGACACGGGCGTTTCTGCCGTCTTGAGAGCGCCGCCACGACATCGCCGCTCGAGTAGGTGGATCTTCCCTTCTAGTACGTGCTGAATTATCATAGCGACACACAACGGAAATTCAGTCAAGGATAGCGCTTTTACGCGGAACGATGAGATGAACGCCGTCTACGACGACGATCACAACGTTGATCACAACCAGCAGCCAGCCCGCGACCGGCATGCATGCAACGCGCGCGAACACTTCTCCTCAACCTGCGATTGGTCTGTCGTTGCGGTTGTTGGTTTCTAACGCAGCGGAGGGACGCACGCACGTGAACGACACGTGCGTGCGTCCCTCCGTCGCTAGGGCGACTGAAACCTCTCTCCGCTTCTTCGAGCAACCTCCTTGCCCCGCGAGTGCCGCTTGCGCCGTCAGCGCAGTTAGTGTCGCACAGGGAAGCGTGCTCGCTGCTCCGGTCGTCGGCGCGGTCGGCGGGCTGTGCCAGAAACCGCACTATAACCGGTATTTCCCTTCGCGCGCCTGCGTTTTAAGCGGTATGTAATTACATAGAGTTCTATGGGAGGCGAACCGGTGGTTTAAAAAAACCGCGTTATACCCGGTCCTGCACTATAAGCGGTTACGTTGTAAGTGGTCTATACTGTATAATGATTCGCGTAGAGCGAGAAAGGCAAGCTTTGTTGACAGAGGGAAGATGAGAATGGTTGAAAGAAGGTGTGATGCACATGCTTTGGGGGCGATTCGCCGAACACCGTCATTCTCGGCACGTTGCACACACAGCGAGTCGAAGGAGAGCCGTCTATTATTTATTGCTTGTACCGTCAGTCCCGGAGGTAGAACGGCGTGGGTACAACTTGCGCCTGCGTTGCTCAGCAGGGCTGGCGACCTCCGCCCAAGGTCTCGGACGACCCGAGCCAGGAGTACCGGCCCTCATGCGTGCTGTTGCACAAGAAGCTGCTGGCGTCGTCCGACGAGGACGACGAGGATGACTCGAGCACCTCTCCGACGTCGAACGTGTCCTCTCCCGGCACGAAGGAGAAGTCTCAAAATACGGAGAAGGACTCGAAGGAGCCGGTCGAGGTTTGCGTGGCGGACGAAGGGGCTCCCGCCACGCAGCTTGAGGAGTCCGTCTCGGACGAGCCCCCCAAGGAGCTGGCGCCCAAGGCCGCTCCGAAGGAGGCTCCCACGGCCGGTACGGACAACTTCGTGAATCCCATCGAGGTGACTAAGGAGAGGCTGCTGAACCTGGAGATGGTCATCGAGAGGAGGTACATGCGTCCTCCCCTGGGAACCAGGTGAGACTGCCGTCTTTCGAGTGTTCGCTGGGGCGTCGGCGTTGTGACTGCGTCTTTAAGGTGCTTTGTTTCTGTTTGATGACGCCGTGGAAGCATCGTGTCGTTTCCCGTCGCGACACTGGTGGTGCCTTGGCGGAAAAGGGGGATGAGGCAGACGCCGGTTCTGCTGCAGGCCGCTCTGCTGCGAGACGGACGACGTAAACTAGGGCGGAAGGGAGACGGGATGCCGTAATGATAGCTTCCCTCACGACCGCTCGCTTTTTTTGACGGCCTGTGTGCGACCAACCTCCGGGGTCGTGACGGCGATGTAACTTGTTGCCACTTTGGGACCGCTTTCGATGCACGGGCGGGATGGGACCGTAAAGTTGCTGGTCAAAGACGTGTTCCGGGCGTCATGCCGAAGCCTCTGAATGACTACTGATGCTCTGCTTAGCTGTTTGTCTTTTTTGAGCCGTCATCTCGCAGTTTCCCACTAGTACATGATAGGGGGGGGGGGATTGGGTGTAAAGGACGTGCATGAAAACCCTTCCTCATCTCGATTTTTTCCACTGGTTGGAGGCGTACCCTTTGTGTCTGCCAGAAGTTAATTGTAAAACAAAATGTCTAAAGCCCCATTAAAAAAAAAAAAATAAAAAAAAAAACCCCTTAGAATTATATACTGTAAATGACTTATTTTTCGCGGGCTCAACATATTCATGGGTTTACATTTTACAGGAATTGTTCGCTGGACCTATTTTTTGCGAATTGTAGGAGATTCTTGAAATTCGCAAAAATTAGGTCTTCGCAAAATTAAGTCATTTATAGTATGCCAGGTTTTTTTATTTGTGTCTGCGCAAAGAAGCAGCTGATGCCTTGTTTTAAAAATTGGTGAGAGTTACCGACTCGCGCGTTAAGGACTCTGTTTCCCGTCTCGGGCGTGCAGCGGCAACAGCGTGCCCCAGACGGGCTCCGGCGCCAGTGGAGGCAACAAGTCGGACGAGGAGGGAGCCTCCGGCGGCGGGGCGGGGAGTTCCGCGGCGGGGCCTGCGGCTCCCGGGGAGGAGGAGGAGGTGGTGGTGCCCCCCGGACTGGCCCGGTGGCGAGAGGCCGTGGCCGCCTGCCAGACGGCTGCCCAGCTGGCCATGTGCCTGAGCCACCTGGAAGGCAGCATTGCCTGGGACCGCTCCATCATGAAGGCGGTCAGTGCCGGCTTTCCCCGCAGCGGCGAACCCAGTTAGGGTCGCCGGCTGGTTAAGAATGGCCGGAAGGTCCTTCATGGCGCAAACGTCTTACCTTCGATGACGCTCGCGCGTCTTCGAGAACCTCGAGCGTGCACACGCTGCCAAAGCACGGGAGAAGGCAGCAAGCACGGGCTGGAAGCCAGACAGAAGAGATGTTTGCTGTTCTCGTGGGGAAGTTGCGGGACTCCGCTGGAAGGCCGAGTGTATGGGCACATACCCTCGACGGTATTCCGAGTGCCGCTAAAGCCCAAGGTTACCCGTGGAAGAGAAAACTTGGCTTCTGAAGTAGGCAAACTTCGTAAGAGAAATTGACAGTTTCTGATTTGGGGACGCTGGGTTCATCGTTAAAAATACATTGGATCTTTCTTCTCCGCTTTTTAGTGAGCCTTTTTTTTAATGAAAATAATCCCTGGAGAAGGGGAACAAGAGGGACAAAGGACGAACACAAAATCTCCAAACACAGCTAGGTGACTGGTGCGCGACTGAAAAAATCCGCCTGGTCCGGGATTATTTTCATCATTCTTGTCCAGCTCGCTTGCACCTTTGCATTTAATTGCATTCTAATTGTAACTTTTTTTAGTAACCCCTTAAAGGGGCCCTGCAATGACTTTTTGACTGGTTTTAATTGGCACGAACATGAGCGCACTGAACGTAGTAACTTAAGGCCACGGTCCCACTGAATGTGGCAGTTTAGGTACTTTTTGGCAGGTCATTACTCATCTCCTTTTAAATACAGCTTTGTGGGATTGATGTCATTCGAAAAATAATGCAATCCTCTTTCATTTGATATTATGTGTGTGTTGGTTTTTACTGTTCATGCGCATTTGTAGCGTTGCGAATATGATGTCGCGGACCCTTACTTGCTCCGCTAGTTCATGTTTTATGAACGATCCATTAAAGATAACACGGTTCCAATATAGCAGTTTTGTTAAGATGATGTCGGAGCAGAATGTAACGATACACTTTTTTGATATTTGCACTACTTTGTTTCTTTCATCCCTCCAAACATTGCCCTAAAATTGACATTTTTCAGCACAAATATGTTTTTAATGACAAGCGCTAGGACAATGAAATTATCTAGAGATGTAGTGCTTATTATTGGTAATATTCAGAAAAAAAAATTTAATGATGTGTAAAATTTTTTTGTTTAGATATTTTATATCAAACGTAGCACTTTTTGGTGCTTGGAGTCATGGTACTTCAAATGCCGCTGAGGAAATAATTAAACTATGATAAAATCGTTTATATCATTTAGAGCTACAAAGGTTGCCCAAGAGGTGGACGATGGCTTTTTTTCATTTTCAAAGTCATAACGCTCCAGGAGCCCTTCAAACTTACCTGTTTTTGACGATATCTGTTTTGAACATCAAACATATTTATTCGCATCTAATAACATTTATTGTTCGGAATAGATATACATTGCAATGTATTAGATTTTCACAATGATATTGCTTTGGTTTTTAATAGGTGTATAGCTTAGATAATTTTAAAAACAATTAAAAACTGTTTGGGTGTTTTGTTGCGCTACCTGGCGGATGGCAGACAAACTGCTGATTTCTAATGTTCAAAAAATTTCCGAGGGCGGCGTTGGCGTCTGTATCATCATCAATCTCCGTGTCTTTTTACCTTCACATTAAAAAAATATATTGGAAGATTTACTATCGATAAATGAAGGGTTTAAGTAGTGGGTCAGGTTAATAAACCTAAGACAAATAATCACACAAGCGTAGCGTGATATAATGTGCTCATTATTTGATATGATTGAAATCAATAAACAATAAAGACGAAGAGGAAGAGAATACGCCCGAGTTCACTTCATGCCTAGAGTCACTAAATGAGCTTTAAAGTATCGGCACTCCGTTCCCCAAAAATTGTTTTGGGCGCCGCCATTTTTGGTCTTGTCAAGAGCAAACGCAACGGCCGATCGTCATGGTCCAAAAGTATGACTTCCTCAGCATTAGATGCGGTGCTAGGAAGCTAATGCAATATTGCAATGCTCTGTCGCGGGTTGTTTAAACATTTGTGGGGGACGGAAAAGCGTTTTCTGTGATTTTAAATAAAGCTTCAGATAACTGCCAACCATGATTTTAAGCCACAATATGGCCAAGTGTCGTTACTCTGAACCGTAGCTACTTTACTGGCACAAGCGGGAACAATAATGAAGAGGCAGGTGTCAATCCACGGGGCTTACGTCATGGCCCCTCCAGGTATTACAAGCCTCTTGAACAAGAGCATGAATAGTGTCATTAAATAAGCTACGCTTCAGAATAGTGACACTTGGCCTTATTGTGGCTTAAAATCATGGTTGCCAGTTATTTGAAGCTTTATCTGAAATCACAAGAAACGCTTTTCCGTCCTCCACTTTAAACAGTTTGCGACAAAGCAAAGCAACATCACATGAGCTTCCTAACACCGAATCTAATGCTGAGGATGTCGCAGTTTTAAATCATGACGATCGGCAGTTGCGCCTGCTCTGCACAAGCACCAAAATAGCGGCGTTCACAACACTGTCGGGGAAGAGAGTGCCGATACTCTAAGCGCAGCTCATTTATTGGCTCTAGTTCCGTGAAACCCCTTTTCCCTGACTGAAACTGAAAGTAAATTTGAATAATACACCATTATTATAGCTTATTTAGTTATAACCAAATACACATAATGAGAGGAGGAAGCGGGCGGGTAGGAGAAACGCAGCTTTTATGTGCGACCGTTCTAACCGTCTCAAAAGAGAGAACGCGCGAGTTTTCGCTGGTTTAAGAAAGGCATCCAAAGAAAAGAGGCGGCACGCTGTGTTCTTTGTTATTATGCGTCTAATTGCAAATTGTTGTGTGTATGTGTAGACAGCCGCAAGTTAGTCTGCCTTAGTGGGCGTCTGGTGTCTCAGCTGTAGATGAGCAATTTAGACAGTGCGGTACAACCGCAAACCTGGGGTCTTTAACGTGCACCACACAGTAAGGATACACGACCGCACGCCGGTACGATGCTCATCCAGATCGAAACGGGCAGGGGCGGGGTGGGTTCTGGAGCGCGAGCTTTCGCTCCAAGCGCTCCGAGCTGGTGTGCGCTAGACGATGCACTCGGCCACCGACTCTTCCCCCCCTTGTGCTGTCTAATTTATATACAGGTATAAGTATTTGAAGATAGGCGATGGACGTCGATCGTCTCGAGGTAATGTAACGTAATAACATTATAGACGCTTTACACACGCGCCAGGTTACAGACGCCATTGCCGACCTTCTATTATCTTACCGAGATATCAAATCACTGAAGCGGGCTTTGGCGAGCCTCCACAAAGGCAAATGCTGGGGAAAAAGACACCGTCGCATCTAAAATACCAGTAACCTGTCCTCCTGTGGTAATGATGGAGCAAAGTGAAAAATATAAGCGAAAACAAAAACTGAAGGGCGGTTATGGCGGCGCCCATGCACAGCTGCTGTAAAGCGTCTATATAAATAATAATTTTGTTGATGGACTGAACGGCTCAATTTTTCAATTCTTGGATAGTAATATGACGGCAGCCTATTGTACTTACTGTTGATGAAGAGCAATATGAGGTGACGAGGTAATGATTAAATGATGAGGCTCTATAAGGACGACGATTTTAGTGGGTGTCGAACCACAACGTACAGTGCCAGACTTGTTTCAAGTATCGTGTACCCAAAGACTTTCTTCACCCGCAACAGAATATGGTAGAATCAATGAGGATGCTGCTTTACAACTGTACGTGGAACAGGAAAACTGCACTGTGCAGAAGTGCGGTTTATTCGTTAATATGAGGGACGGATTTCTAGCAGCGTTCCCTGATTGACTACTTGGAACAAATGGCCTCGTTGACGTAAAGTGTCCCCGTTCCAAAAAGATTCTTGAAGCATACTTAAACCGCAAAGCAGTATGAGGCGAAAAATAAAAATAGAAGCCTGGTGTGAAAGGTCCAAATCACCACCATAGCTTCTACTATCAAATACAAGGGCAGTTACACAATACACAAAGAGGGTTTTGTGATTTAGTTATATTTACACTCAAGGGCGTTGATATCCAACGTATTCAGAGAGATGACACCCCCTGGTCAACCAACATAGAGCCTTTTCTACTCAAGTTTTACATGGAAGGCCCGTCTTCCGCTAAAATTCCTCACGTTGTCCGACCGAATAAACTGCCATTACTCCCGATCTGGGAATCTCTCGATCTTCGTTCGTAGGCCATAGTATCATGAGATCGAGGGGTGTGGCTCTTCTTCCGCCGAATATTGCTTCGGCGGGTGTTTTTACCGTGTAATATGAGACCGTCACGTGCTGCTGGAACAAAAACCTGGCGATTCTTCTCGAACTGACTGTTCCGTGACCTTCAAAAGGGCATTTTTCAGTTTCGCACACCATCTGTTCTGCTTGCCCGTTAGGTGCAGGATGGTATGGTGCCTGATGCCGTTTTTTTTTTCCTTCAAAAACTTGTTTATTTTATTTGAAGCAAGATTTGGCGTGTTATCAAAGAAAAGTATTTTCGGTAGGAAAAAAGTATGTAAAAGAGACCGTAGAACGTCAATGACGTGTTTGGACGTAGTGGCAGGCATCATGTAAACTTCCAGCCACTTAGAGTACGCATCGATCATGACTCCGCAGATTCGGATACGTTTCGCCACCCACCAACTGAATAGTGGATCGTTTTCAATTTCTATTCATGATGGCGTTCAACTCAAGGAAGACTTCGAGTCTTTCCAGAAAGTTTCTGGGAACTATAATGTTCCCTGAAACATAATATACCATTACAACATCTTCCGTGCCCCGTGAAACACAATATTTCGTGACGTATTTTAGTCGTCATTAAAATGGTGAGGTGAGTACCGTAAATCGCGAAGCAGTTTTCTTGACGTCTGCTTCCACTGGTGTCTTGGAAGATTGAGTCTACTGAGCGTGCATTCCTGCAGAAGAAATTTTCATTGATAGAATATTGACACGTCAATCAACATTTGATTCCTTCTTGGTTAGATTTGTTGCGAAAGCCCGTTACAACCGCCGAACCGCATCTCCCTATAGACCTTTCCAATGTTTACAAATCCACAGCTCAGCGTGCGATCTCCACAGCTCAGCACGCGCGTGTGCATCGCTTCGGAAAGCGAGCAAATCACGCGCGATACGCACGAACACTGAAAATGAAACCGGCCAGCAGCCCTTTTCTGGAAAGCTCTATATCAGAGAACAATTTATACCCAGCCTGACATTCTCGCATACATCCGTTTGCTGGGCCACGCTACTTGAGCCAGCTGAGCACAGCTGGCGGCGGCACGAGCAAGGCCACGAGGGGAACGTGATGGTGCTCGAGCCATCCCACTGCGAACCAATGTTTCGGCCACCCCACGGGTGCGTGTCGCCATCTATTGGTTGAACTAACGCCTTGTTCAAGATGGCTGCCGTGGGACCGCAGCCTTAATCAAACTTTTCTTTTCTCAAATTTCGCTTTATTTTAAAAGTTATAGGCGAATTAGAATTACAAAAACAAGCAAAAAATAACCTCCTTCGTGACGTTGTAGGTCCTGGCTTGAGTGGCCGTGAACTAGAGGAGAGGTAGTGAGCTCATGGAGCGTTCACGGTTTCCGCACTCCGGGTCAACGGCTCGAGAGGGCGCCACTAAAGCATATGTTGGATAGGCTCTATGAAGCGGGCGGCCGGGGCGGCTCGCATTGCATTTGCTGCGCGATTAAAGACTATTTCGGCATAACACTTCATGGGCCACAAACGGCAGCAAACACGGGGTAAAGATCAGTTCAAAACGGGAGCCACTTCGCGCTGCCATGCCGCCAAATCGCCAGCAGGGCCCGCGCCGAAGGCCTTCGGAAAGCTCGGAACCGGTCGGATCGTTGAGCCGGTATACGACCGCAGCGCCGCCGCGTACATCCGGGGCTTTTCTACGCTGGCCGTTCGTCGTAGCCTCATCCCACTAATTCTTTCTAGTATGCGCCGTTTTTTCCGCCGCTTGGTGGCGGGTATGTCGACGGGTCTTTTCTTGTTTCCGTACTTTATAAACGGCATTTGTTTCTTTTCTGATCTAAAATACTGAACAAAAACTTCTTTTATAAATAATTGAAACGGTTCGCGCCACTTATATTTTGTATTTCGACTACGAAAAAGCTTTTAGCGGCTCTGACCAGTAGTAAGCCTAGGACCAAACACGTCACATTTTGCGCACTTTTGGTACCGCGGGTCGCCCTCGTCGGTGGAGGTGGTTTCCGCGCCGTCCGGTTAAGATATGACGCACTGATATTTAGTTACTCTCTCCGTGCCCGCTGGCTTGCCCGGACTCCAAGAGACGTGGAAACCTCAAAAAAGGTAGTTGCTTAAATATGATTGCAGGGCCCCTTTAAGTGCCACTTTTTTTTTTTATTAAGGTAACCTAAAAATGCCATATTTTTTTGTTGAGAAGTTTTGTTCTTGGAGTATCACACGTAGAATTTCCAAAGTTTATGATGCGAAAATCGGTATATTTCTGCGCGTGCATGAACCTTGTTAAGGTCGTGCTCATGCGCGTTACGCACCTTACATCTTCCGGGGTTTAGTGTAAAGAAGAAATACACTAAATTGAGGCAGTCCTGTTGATGTTTTCATGCTAAAACACCAAGTACGCTACAGCCACCTTATTTGAGGTTGCGGACTGTGTGGTAGAGCCGCCACCATCCGAATTATTGTTGTCGTCGTCATCAGATTCAGTTGAAGAGGCAAGTTCAGCAACAAAAGTCATTGTTGTCTTCACTCGAGGAACAAAGCTCAACTTCTTCTGGGTCAATCGAGCCTTCTTCGGCGATCGCTTTTCTTTTTTGCAGTGAAGTTCCGCATGCTCCGTCGGCTAGCGACGGGATTTTTAAATGACTGTTGCCAGAATACCTTTTCATTTACCCTACCAACGTTGGAGAAAAGAAAAATACGGCAAATAAAACGAGTGCTGCCATCTATGATCAGTGCCTCAAATGAGCTGAGCTCGTTTGTGGCATTTTTAACCAGAAAGTTGCCGACAACAAAATATGTTTTTGTAAAAGGCAGCCATTGGTAGATTTTCTTGTGATTGCCCCAAGAAAAAAAAAACAACTTTTGGGTCCAGTCATTGTTCAAGGGAAGGCCTTGTGAGCCGAGATGAATGAAGTAAGCAAGCAAAAGAAACAAAGTTCTATACTTATGGCCTTTGATGTTTAGGAGTAGTCCTGGAATTGAAAAGGCAAGCTGAACTGTGAGGGGATGTTCTGATCAGCCCTTCCTTGTTTCAGAGCTGCCAGTTTTGTCGTAGTGGGGACAATGAAGAGATGCTGCTCCTCTGTGACGGCTGTGACAAAGGCTATCACACCTACTGCTTCAAGGTGAGTTGCAAGGGTACTGCATCCACCAGAATTTCCAGGGTCTGTCGCATCAATGAGGTATTTCATAAAAGGACAGTATTTATACTCATTGGTTTCACAAAAGTCTGGAGTTACTGGTAATGGGATGCTTAAAATTCTGGTTGTCAATATGAAAAAAATGCATAATATTTAAGAAAAGTTAGATAGGTACCTACGGGATAAGTCTGGCGCAAACCATGTTTTGTGCTCGACTACAAAGTGCAACGTAGTGTGTCTCCACTGAGAAATTACTGGGACATTGCTCAAAAACTTAGTTGCTTTGACATAAAACCTGATGCTTTTTTTTCTTTCTGCTTAATGCATAAATACTTTTTCTAAATACATTGATGTTTTGAATAAGCCTTGTGCTCTCTGACCATCTGTTCAAGCAAACCTCATCTCACGGAGGTTGTGCTGTCTTTACAACTGCTGTTCATTCATCAATTGAAATTGACCCTCCTTGACGCTGATTCACACTTCCCTCCGCAGCCTAAAATGGACCGCATCCCTGATGGAGACTGGTACTGCTACGAGTGCCTAAACAAGGTTGGAGCATGTTTTCACATTTCGATAACAAACCCTTTGCTTGGACGAAAAAAAATATGGTACATATATCCTCTTCAGCACGCTCACTCGCAGATAAAATATCACTGTCTGGTTGTGTGCCCAGCAAACTGTCAGAAATAATGGACGGTACATGCATGAGAGAGCTTTCTGTAGGAACCTTTGTTTTTTGTTTGCTTGTCGCTTGGAAAGTATGCAGATGTATGGAAAGATTTCACCTGAAAACTTGACTCACTGCAAGTAAAAAGTAAACATTGATATGGGTTATGGCATGCATATTTTTTTTTTTTGTCTCCTTGTTGTCTCATTAATTTCTGCTGGAGAGAAGCACTTGGCTTTGTTCTTGAATGTGCTGCTGTATTTTTGTTTGTTGCTTAATCCTACAACTATCTTTTCTCTAACCTCTCTTGCAGACGCAGGATGAAAAACTCTGTGTCCTTTGTGGGAAGAAAGGCAAGCTGGTCCGCTGTGATGCCTGTCCCAAGGTCTTCCACCTGACTTGCCTGGAACCTCCTCTTTCAAAGTAAGCACTTCCCCGAAGCAGTAGACAGTGTCAAACGCATTTCTTCCGGAGTGCCTCAACGCCCCTTTATGAAGATGGCAATGCAACTGCATGGAATTATGTGCTGGTCATTTGCGCTGCAGTGCAGTGATGGAAGTGCTGCGCCAATTGCGCCAAATTGCGCCAAGGACGCAATCCTGCTACATGTAGCGCCAAATTGTCATTTTACCGAAGAATTGTACCATGCCTGCGTTGAGATGAGATGTAGCAATAAAAAATAAAAATTGAAGTCTTATCAGAGCGCGTGGCGGTACCGCGGTATTTTCCGCGCCGCAACTGTAACGCAAATAGAAACTGCGAGGGCGCATTATCATCATCATCGTCATTGAAAGGAACAACGTTAGCAACATCTGAGACTAAAGCCGCAGAGGCTAAGCGTAGAACCATCCCACTGAGCAGCCTATTTAAAAAAAAAAGGCCGAGCTTGTGGATGTTTTTAATGTTGGACTGCCCTGCTCCCGTGCGCTAGCTATTAGCGAAGTCAAAGCTAGCACAAGCCCAATGCTCTGTGCATTCCTACTCGCGCGTGGGCTCGTGCAGTTTGGGCACCGTTACGGGCTCCATGCGCGCACTCTTAGCTTCGGCTGCACTCACACCGAAGCTGAAACGAAGTATAGTTGAGTTGCGCCAAACTCTGGATAAAGTGCTGGTAAAGCCTCACCGTCCTTCTCGGAGCACAAAGCACTGCGCAAATCGCGCGACTGCGGTGTCTGCTCCGCGGGTGTTGCTTCTCTGCAGCGCGTCGGTGCATGCCAAGGAGCGCACTCAACAGGTTAACTCGCCGTGATCCGATCGTGACTTCGCCAGCACATCGAAAATGAATCGAAAGTTTTGAAGCGAATATCAGATACCGCAATATTTGAAGCTGCTGCCCAAAAGACAACTCTAATCTGAACTAAAACATTCCACAACAGTCAGGGTCGTTAGATGCTGCTGCAGATACCTTAAAAGAAGTGCAGGCTGATAAAACTAAATATCCTGTACCATCAGAACTCAGTGTGACATATTTAATTGCATTTGTTTATCTGACGATCAGATAAACTTTATTTTAAAAAAAATGTTTTTTTTTTTGTTTACTTTGTTGAATTTTATATATCCTTTTTAAAACGGCGACAGGCGCTGTGTTCCAATAATAGAGATGGGCTTTATATAGCAATGCAGCATTATTTCATTTTCAAGTAACATGCCAACATATGCCGGGTCCTGCTCCAAAAGGGCCACTACCTGCTCCAAAACCACATTTTGCCTGCTACAAGGCCTGCTCCAAAAGGTCAAATGGCACTTCCATCATTGAATCTACTTAATGTGTTTTCTAAAAAGACACTAAAATTAAAAAAGTGATAGATGGGATAAACTTCTTTAAGTATTTCACAATTTTTTTTTTTTTTTTTTTTTGCATTTATTTACGTTGCTAGACACAATTTAGGATGGGGTAGTATCTGCTTTAGGCCCCACCTATAACAAAAGGTGCTTAGCTAGCTGAGCACCGTTTACCGACACTCAGTGGTTGGAGAGATTATTTATGTGTGAAAGTTTGTTGGAAAATTGTCTCTCTGTGGCCAAATGGTATTTTTATCGACAATATTTTTATGTTTGAGAAACATAATCTTGATAGAGTCATTTCGAGATTACCTTTTCTGTTTGGTTTCGAACGATAACAAACATGGCTGCCAGCGTTTGCGGCGTGCTCAATGTGCGTATCTCATTGAGCTGGTTTCTTTTTATGAGTGTGAGTCTTTACATTCACCGAGGTGTTTAGATGAAGATGTCTCAACCGACCTAGTCTGCAGCAAACAACTGTCGCAAATATGCGCCTTTGGAAGCTCTGTGCGGGTGCTTGTTTTCGTAGTGGGACTGGCCAAAGTCTAACATCCCACGTCAGCTCTTTTGCTTGATCTGGCTTGATTTGTCTGTTGCGAGTGTTGATGCTGAATAGAGATTTTGGCTACCATAAAAGTAACCCCGCTGCTCTTTGAGTTGTGCAACTGTCATAGTTGCTGCCATTTCAGTACCGAGAAGATACCTAGATACATAGGTAGAAATATGCGAGCCATTTGGCTGGATGCAATCGGGCATTCGGCTCACGTCGATACTGAAAATAGCAAGCAGAATCGGACCAAGTGATTCAGGAATGACAAGTTGATGACGGCCACTTGTAACAATGATAAACATCTCGTTGTATCTGCTGTTTACACCGAGCCTACTTACCCCAGCCAACCTTCAAACTTAATTGTGCGTTATGACGCTCACCCACCTTGCTTGCGAATGCTTTGTGAAAAAACAACATCAAGAACAGAAAAGCTGAAAAAACTGCATATGTATTTATTTTTGTGAAATTTTTTTAGTCCTTCCGCTCTCTTTTTACTGCATATCAACAGACGCTGACAGACGCTTGTATCTGACTGTGGCTTGTGCATGATCGAACGCTACAATGCTGCTTTCATGGTCGCGGCTTGCGAGCATTGCAGACGTTTTTAGATGTAGGCAGAATAGCAGATGGACACAGGCGGTAACGGACGCCAACGTGCCGTATCACGGCCGCGTCTCACGGGAATTGTCATGGGCGTTGCAGACGCCGATAGATGCAGGCGGTGTCAGATGCCGAACTAGACTCACCGAATGTCGCGGCAGTCTGTAGGCTTGCGAGCGCGTTTGGCCGAGCAGCCAAGCCAATCCAGTAGTAACGGGCGGGGCCACTCATCTGTGGGTGGGGCTTAGAGTGGGCTGTGACTTCCACCTAAATTGCATCGAACAACGTAAATATTGCACAAAAATGATTTTCACGGAAAAATTGTATCAAGAAACGTGTTTTAAAAGATGTAAATATTAACGTAAAAATAAAATAATAAATAAATAATAAAAATAAATAATTACGTAAAAATTTATAAAAAGCTGGTTTTTTGCATTTCAGTGTCCCTTTAAGTGAACTAGAAAAAAAACTTAAATAAAGAAGCTGCTTAATTCACCTTGATCTAAGGATCAAGTCTATATACAGTCGCCGTCTGATTTTTCGGACTTCGTAGGGATTAAAAAAATGTCTGAATGATAGAGTACTAGTCCGAAAAATCAGCCTATTAAAAAACTTGCCTATATTACGTCTAACCGGGCTTCAGAAAGCCGTAAAATAGCGCCTTGCTTCAGGTTATGCCTGCACGCCTTGTTTTAGGCTACGCCTCCGTTTGCGTTCGGCAACTTTCTATTAGCTTTGTCCTGACTAACATATTTTACGAAAAACATAAAAAAAATTTTAGCGTTTTTTCCCCCTTTTTTTATTTTTTGTTGCAGTGGTTAGTGACTGTTTCTTTGTACGAGCTTGCACTTTTGTTCTTGCAGGCCTCCCAAGGGAAAGTGGACCTGTTCAGGTTGCTCAAAGGTAACTTGCTGAAGCTTTCATTCTTTCGTTTAGTGTCTCACCTGTGTTGCCATCGCCGGGCTTTACAAACCCACCAGCACGCCATAAAATAGTGCCACCTTCCTCTAAATTCTCTAAAACAGTTGAATATTGTACGACCTAAGCATTTATGAATGTTAAATAAACAAAGCGAGCAAGCGAAAGGAAGTCTTCATCGAGAGTAATATTATTGCCTTCATTGATGCGGTAGCCGTCACAATTACCAGTATAGGCGTGCTCAAACAAGTGTGATTGTAAAGATTTGTTTGGTCATAGTTGGGCACCATCACAAAATAATTGTCATTGACATTTTCGATCGCGGACTAAACAAATTCTCTATACAATTGGCAGGATTAGAAAAGAAAAATCTCCTGACATCCAGTCCAAAGTACCCATGCACTGTTTTCTGTGGGGCCCATTACTGCGTAGGTGATTCCTTGAGCATGCGACAGTCTGCGTCGCTGGTGACTGCACTGGCAACCGAGCGAATGCCGTCCGCATAGGCGAACGCGAGAAACATCTCTGCATTGCACCAACACACACAAAAAAGGCAGGTTCCTTTTGAAAAGAAGCAGCCTTGTGTGGCATCCTGCACAGACATTCTTGCCCACTTCGTCGGTGTCGTCTGCACCGTGGCGAGGCCATGGCAGAGTGTCAACAATGGAACACACCTCTTGGTTTGACGTCTCAGCGTGCACAACCCATGATGCAGCACCGCGCCAAATGTGCGCGGGGGTGGGTGTAAGGAGGTGGCGTGCTAGCATTCCCTTGTTCCACCCCTTCACTGTGTAGGAACGGGGGCTGCGTAGAAGAGAAGGAAGCACGCGTTGGTGCTGTCGCACGTTCGTCGCTCTTGACAGAATGTCTAAGCCGGGCAATTTTTGTGAAGTTGTTCTTACCCTCCGGCTACAGTCGCACCTTGACGAGCGTTTAGAGAGCAAACTATCGCGGCTGCATGCTTTGCTCGAGGTGGTGTGCAGGGCCCGGTTGTGATGTCCTTGGGTGGGTTCTTTTCTCCCGCTTAAGAACCGCAAGAAGGGCCGTCCCTCAAAGGAGTCCAAGGACCAGGCGGGCAAGGAAGCCAAGGAGGCCCCTCCCTCCAAGAAGGGCGAGGGGGCTGCCCCAGCCACTGCCAGCCCCAGCAAAGCCGCCAAGGCATCGGAGCGCAGGGAGAAGAACAAGTCGCAGGTGCTCAAGGACCTGGCCGCCTGCAGGTACTGGACGCCCGCCCTCCCTTAGTCTCACTGTGGTACCCGGAAAGCTTCTCCGATTGGTGTTTCGAGTCTAGAACAGGTTTTCTTGTGGTTCAGTTTGAGTTTGTTGTTCACTCCAGCATTCCTCCAAACTGTACTTTACTGATAACGTGCGTAACCATTTTTGTCGAGCAGACAGATTCTGGACGAGCTAGAGCAGCACAAGGATGCTTGGCCGTTCCTGCTGCCCGTCAACACCAAGCAATTCCCGTCGTACCGCAAGTTCATCAAAAAGCCCATGGACGTTAGCACCATGCGCTCCAAACTGGATGCCAACCAGTCAGTGCACTTTCCTTTTAGCTTTTTTCTTCTTGTTACGACTGTCTTAGCTAAGAACTAGAACCGTTTCAGTGCACTTTTGCTGGTGCAAATAGTTGTTGTTCTTTGGGGGCTATTCTCAGTACTTTTCAACTCTTTCCTGTAGTATACATACATTGAAAACGAGAACATATAAGTACTAGTATATACACTAAAATCTCGTTATAACAAAATGGGATATAACAAACTAATGGATATAACAAAGCAATCATAATTTCCCTTGTTTACTAAAAGTGGGAAGAATTGGACAGTGGCTATAACAAACTAACGGTTATAACGAAATAATTACGACCGCTCCTTCAACTTTGTTATAACGAGGTCTTACTGTACTAATGTTCTTAAAGGGCCCATGAAACGATTTTTGGGTTGGGATAAATCATTTTAGATTGGGATTTTTCTAATAGCACATCGTTCAGTGGATCAAAAGAAAAAAGGTAGAAAGTCAAAAGCCTGACTTTCAGTGCGAAAATTTGAAAACAAAGCGGACTATTTCGTACCTCCTCCCCTTCGCAACCTCTCTGCCTTTTCACTGTGATACATCCACGGTCCCAAAAGCGCGTCATCGGGTCCAAACTGACGTCACACGCAACCGGACCTCACTTATTCCCTTCACCCCTAAGCTGACATTGTGCTGGAAGCTACGCGCTTGCCGGACCAATCAGCCGCCTCCCTTTCATCACCTGACTTCATTCTCTGCAGCCACATTTGCCACGCTCACGTGGCAAGTGTGGCTGGCCCACTGAGCACATAGCTTCAACAGCACTGTCAGCTTCGGAATGAACGGGGTGGCGAAAGCAACTTTTGTCTGAATTTTGAGCGACGGGCTAATCTTCTATACTCCGTTTCACCTTCCGTCCGAGCACAGCGGACGCTAGGAGCCATCCCAGCCAATGCGGCGTTGAGGGAGTGTCACGCGACCTTGAGCTCCCTGTGTCGCCCCGCCCCACCGGCAGGTCACGCGACTTTCTCCCGGCGCTGGATCGGCTGGGATGGCTCGTGGCGTCCACTGCGCTCGGACTGAAGGTGAAACGGAGTATAGGGGGAGAATGGATGTGTCCGGGGATTACACAAACGAGAGTGCGAGCAAGAGGGGACTCCCCCTTTTCGTCTTTTTTAACTGTTTGGTGGAATGCGCGATTTATGAGTTGAGGAGGAAAGCTAAACAGGAAAAAGTTGGAAAAGCGTTTCATGACCCCTTTAACTTTGAGCCCTGTACAAATTTTTTTTTTTTTTTAATGTTTTTATGATTTTTACATTTTCTTGTTGAGGTTCATTCAAAAACCTACTATGTTGAAACTGTACATATTGTTACTGTCTAGTGCAGGGGTTCTCAAACTGGGTTCCGGGGAACACAGGGGTTCCACGAGCTGGTCTCATGGGTCCCGTAAACACCCAAATTGCAACCCCCTCCCCTCACCCTCCTCCCCCCCCCCCACGCCGCAGGCTGCGCAGCAGGACCATGCGAAGCACCTTCATCTCACTTTGTACTGACATTGCGATTGATATGGTGGGGATATATGGGAAGCGACACAAGCTAAATTTCCTACAATTGTGCATCTGTTGCTTCTCGGTCGGCAAATGTGGAGGTCGGGGAGGGTTCCGCGGCAGTCTTTGGGCTTCCTGGGGTTCCGTGAGTCCAAAAAGTTTGAGAACCCCTGGTCTAGTGAAAAATATGGTGTCTAAGTAGAAATGTGGGATTGGTCATTATTTTATTTTTGAGGCTGTTCTTTTAGATCTAGAATTTTATGGCCTTTTGAACCCCTAAATAAAAGCAGAAAAAGTGTTCCTCGTTGTTGGCCCAGTACGCTTGAGGGCAAAAGTGTTCAATTTATGAAAACTTGTTGACCTATTTATTCTTAATAAGATGCCGGTTTCATGAAGGTCTTCGCATTGACACATAAAATACACCATGCAATTTTTTTAGTGTAATTGAAGCTTTCTGGGAAAGTTAGTAGAGTTTGGTTGTTTTTTTTTGGACAGGATTGTGCTCATATGTAGGCCTCTGTGTTTCTGCTGGCCAGGGATGATTTTTACTTTTCAGGAAAGTTAGATTTATTCCGAAAACTTTTTTTTTTTAAACAACATTTTATATTTTTTGCTTGATAGGGTCTTGATATGTGCCAAGATACAAAATGCAATGACTTGTTTTATCTTGGTCAGATAGTGGTCTGCAGTGTTTGTCGTAATGGCAACAGGCAGACAAAAATAACATTTTACGAGATTTGAAGCTACAAGTCTCGAATATTATTAACAGGAAAGCTGTTAAAGACTGTGGAAGGTGCTGCCAAAAGCTTGACGAGCTAGGTGACACTGGAAAATAGGTGAAATATAGGACTCAGTTCACCATGCACTTACAATCAGTTGTGAATGCATTTCTTTGTCATTTCTTTCACCTTTTCCCTTCTCGAAGGAATCACTTTTGTTTCTTTGGAAGTCTAGAAAAATATAGAGTGAGGAAGCCAAAGAACCCCAAGAAATGCCAAATATGTAAACTGAAACTTCTACAAATTCCAGGTCTGGAAGTGTTGTACCATACTGGTGCCAATCCACTTTCGCTGTGCCATCCTGCTCCTAAACGCAAATGTCGTGCTAAAACAAAACAGAACAAAACAAAAAAAGCTCTCGCATGCATTCATTGATTATCTAATCTCTCATGAAAGCAATGACGACCTCACGAGGTTAAACAAAGTCGTTCTTTCTACATCCCAAATACTGCATACCATTTTGGTGCTGTCTTGTCCTAAACGTAAGAAGGATTAAATGAGATAATTGGTTGTCCCATATATGGAAACCTTTTCGTAACTGACCTGCAAGTTGAATACACCTGCCGGCCACTAAACAGCAAGTTGGATATGAAGAACATGCCACCTTTCATTTTAGGGTCCTAATTACTAGCTTCAAGCATATATTTTTTTTTAATATTGAAAATCCTAAGTGTGTGTTTTTTTTTATTCTAGTCAGTCCAGCTTGCTCATAGAGATACTAAAGTTCTGAGAGGCCAGATTCACGAAGAGCTTCTTAAGTTATCACAACTTAGCTAAGAATTTTGTAAGTTAAGAACATCGTAAGGGGAGAAATCGGTATTCACGAACGCAATCTTAAGTCCGTCGTTCTCGTACAAAAAAATCAGAACTTCCGGTCTACCGCAAGCTCCCGATACCCGCGAGAGCGGGCCGTTGCTATGGCGACGGTGTCTTTGGCAACACGAACAACCAACCGAAGAGCTCGACATGGTTCGGAGCAGTTCGGAGCACAGGGACTTCGGCTAACAAATGCAGGCGACCTTCCCTCCAACGCTCGTCTGGGGTTCATGTCTGTGCAGTGAAATGTCGACGCTGACACAATTCAAACGGGGCCCGAATGCCGGGAGGCGGGGATAACCGCTTTCGTCAACTGCTACAAACTCGATTGCTACAAAGTCAATGTTGTGTTGACTTCGTAGCAATTGAGTTGTCATCGTTGCTAAAAGAAGATGGCCCGTACCGGTTGTTTGGAAAGCGGCATGGATAGAAACAAATCGCCACGGCATTTTCGTGGCCTCGGAGATGCAGGAGCGAGCCGACGTTAAAGAAGATGTTTGAACTGTGAGAGCGTCAGCAAGAGTCACGTAAGCACCTGTTCACACTCGGAGTGGACGCCCGCGTTTGGTCGAAGTGCTGGATTTGCGCTGTTGGACTGCGTCTTGGTAAGCGCTTCGGGGCCAATTTTTTACGATTGCAACTGGATGCTGACGTGACACGCGGCAAAGAAAAGTCAGACCGTCATCGCGTCACTCCCAAGACACCGTTCTAGCTCTACAGTGTTGACGTACCGTTGTGTCGGAATAACATTGGCATACTAATAACAAAGTGTACATACCACGTTGTGAAAGTAATTCATATGGCGTTTATTTGAGCTCTATATCACACAAAACAAGGAGGTAGAATCGATGAGAGTCTTTTTTTCGACGACAGCGTTCGTCATTGCTGCCTCGGAAAACTAGGAGCAGAGATTGACCTCTTAATCTAAAATTGAGGTCATCGATCAAACTATTATTACGGGAAGGGTCCACAAGGGTGGCGTGGGCATATTCCATTCAGCAAACTAGCTGGTCGTGGGCGGACGGTTTTGGCCAGGAACCGTTGGAGCAACGCTGCAGGTCGGAGTGCCTTGCTAGGCCAACATTCTGCCGAGCTTGCCCTTGTTGATCGCTCGGCCGGTGGGATCGTTGCCGTTGTAGCTTTTTCTGAGTGTTTGTGGATCCAGCGTTCATGTCCGTTGTGGTCGGTTTCAAGCAGGAATATAAACGGTAACCGATTCCAAAAACTGTTTCGGAAGAAAATTTTTTCAGTAGCCATAACCGGAACGAAACCGTTATTTGAAATTTATGAAAACCGTAACCGTTACCAAAAATTATTTACCGGTAACCGGTATTATTAACTGACAAATCAAAATATTCATTTTTTTTAAAGAAGAACTTCTAGGAAGGATATTGAAATGTTGTGGCCATTTGACAGAGTTACCGTCAGCAAGTGGTGAATCTGGTAATACATTTCTGTTCAACCTAAATTTAGCATTAAGAAAACTTAGTTGGAATCATTGAGTGAGCTTTTATTGGCAAGTCTATATTTCTACATCTGCCACACTCCTACAACCTCTACATGTATTCAGTATATGCTGCCCTGAAGGTATTTGCTAATAAGTTAGAATTATGAGATGTCCATCTAATTCGGTTCTTTCAAACAAATGACAATACAGCGAGTTACAATGTTGCAAGGCAGCGAGGTGCGACACACGCACTCGCGTGCTCAACTCCGATAGCTCTCGCGAGCCATACAAGCCTTTTGCTCTTTTGGTTTCACCCCCTCGTTCGAGTGACGCAAAATCAACCTCCTTTCTTACACCGCGCGCAAAACGAAAGCTGGACAGCCGGATAGTCTCTAGTTTCCCTTCTTGCAGCTTGCTGGCTTGCTCTACGTCCTGTTTGGACTGCGCGTGGACCGCCTCAAGCATATCGTGCTGAAATCGACAGTCCATTCCGATCTGTCCCTGTCTCCCAAGCCCAAGTAGGCCAAGAAACGACAAGCCCTGTCTCTCGAAACTAAACGAAGCATCGTCAAAGATGTCAAAAGTGATATGAAAAAAAAAGCTTCCGTCGCAGTGAAGTACATCATTGCTGACAAAACGGTTTCTACTGTCTGGAAGAACTTGGAGCAGGTACGAAAGCAGCTACAGCAAGATTCTTCTTCATTCTCAAGAAAGAGGAGCTTTGTTTAGGTGGTTTTGCGAAATGCAAGCCAAGAACATCTCAGTGAGTGACCCGATGCTACAAGCGAAGGCTAGGTCCTTTGAGCAATTTTTCGAACATGAAGGCTCCAACCCTCTCAACGGATGAATCCAGCAGTTTAAAGAAACACTGACACCCCCATTTTTTTTTTGCGACGTGGGGACGCGTGTTGCCGTCCCCACGTCGCTGCAGATATAGCGCTTTTTAAACTGAAATGTAAGGACTGCCGCATGTTCATCAACGTTCCCGTTCTTGTTTAAATCATACGCTACTACAAGACTCCCTCTTTAACTTGAAGACTGCTGTGTTGAAGTATTAATTATCTAGGTTTCCCTCGGTAGGCTTTTTTTTCGAGAGGGACCCCGGTACGTGAAAAGTCTTCCTTGAAAGAAAGTTGGTGAAGAGTAGTGAGCTAAAGCAAAGAAGGCAATATCTGCTCGTGGAACCCACACACTTGTTTGTCTCGTCGTTGCACAATGTGCTGCAAGAATTTTTTTACCCTACCTCGCCATCTCTTGCATCTACGTGCTCAGGTTCTTTTTTTCTTTGTTTAGCTTGTACCTTGCCCCGTCGACCTGGCAGGCACATGCCGCTGGACTGTTTTTTGTATGCTGGACAGTTGCATCGTTACATTTCGAATACACTTTTGGGAACCAGTTGGCGACGGAGTGGCATGGTTTCGGTTTTGATCGAACAGCCACTCCGCTCGCGCGACGAGGCACGTGCAACTTCAAGCCTACCGAAGTTGTGCTCATGTGCATGCGAACATGATTGCACGGCAGAGGCACCAGCGAGGGCGCTTGCAATCTATGTTTTCACGTTCGCTTACTTTTGACGAAAATCTGGCTCGTTGGTAAACAGTAAAACGGTGGCAAGCGGATTTTCGGAATTGCTCAGCAACGCCTGCAGCACTGTACACTTGTGGGATGTCTCAACGTCTCTTTGGGGACATTGAAAGTGGACATTCATTACTGGCCGAAAACAAAGCGAGGCTTGCAGCAGCCTTGCAGAAAGTTTCGAAAAAGAAAAAGAGAAGCACCCGCTAGTCGTAATGCACTTTTGTCTAGTGAACAATATCGCATTGCACTGCAGTAGTTACGTGTTTCGTCAGTCGGAGACTGCTTCCATTTATTATATTATATAACTAGTCAACCTAAAGCTGTGATATTTACTACTAAGCTGATCATTGTAAAATAAATTATAATGTGTGCAATTTGGTTCTTCTTTATTTATAGGGGGTACAATTTAACTGAATCATTGCAAAACATGTCTGTCATTGGCATTTCAGTTACACATTGAAAGACTCCCAGATGGTCTAGCTTGACCATAATTTGTTTATTGCGGCGTGCAAAGTGCGCTTCGTTTGTCCAGCGCTTAAAACAATTAATTTTTCTAAGAATATCTGCTCCAGAAGCCACTTTTGCTGCTCCGAAACACTGTTTTGGCTGCTTTAAAGGCCACTTTTGCTGCTCCAAAACACAATTTTGGCTGCTCCGAAAGGTGCTCCAAAATGGTTTAGGCCAATCACATCATTGGAATTGTCTTTTTACGTTTAGGATGGTCGTTTATAAAATATGTTAAGATATTGTCGACAACATAAATGGCAAAAAATTTATACGATCTTTCAGTGTGATGTTAACATAAAATAAATTATGTTTTGGAAATTTTGTTTTCACAGTTGCACTCTCCAGTCATTTCCGCTTCATCTCTAGTGAAGAAAAATGTTGGGTATTACATTAGTTTTTTAATGATAGTTTCCTTAAACAATGACAGCATGTTCCTGATAAAATTTAATATAATTTATTTCACAATTCACATAAACAAATGAAACGTTTCACTGTATTCTGCCCAGAAACTGCCAGTATATACGGCACACTTAATTCATATTAATCCAAACGTTCAAAAGGTGACCCTTTTGGGTAGTGTCCCCTCTTAACAATTCTGTTAAGGTTTTCGGCTGATTCTCCGCACTAATAAAGTATTGACAAAGTTTCGCAGAGCCAGGACTAGCATTATGGCAGTCACCGAGAGAGGGCTCTATGGTTCCCTCGCAGGTACAAGGGCAAGGACGAGTTTGCCGTGGACGCTCGTCTAATCTTCGACAACTGCGAGACCTTCAACGAGGATGACTCCCCTGTCGGCCAGGCAGGTCACAACATGCGCACCTTCTTCGAGAGCCGCTGGGAAGAGCTCACCTCTTGAATCCATTTGTGGCACAAGCGTTCTTGCTCCCCTTCCCCACACCCCTTCACCCCTTCACCACCACCACCAACCACCACTGCCCCACCCCACCTTGCTCTCTTCATTCTTTCTTCTTTCTTTTGTTTTTTTTACCCCGCACTTGTTTCTTCACTTTTGTTACATTTATACATACCTACATACATGCATACATATATATATATATATATATAGTATATTTATACACTTTTTTTACGCTGTTACTAGGATAATTTTCGAGTCCTACAAGCATACTGCTCCGTCTGGGATTTTTTTAGTTACGGCGAAGTGTCGTCTGACGATGAGGTCAATGCCCGCCCCCACTGAGAGCTTCGGAGCTCTACGACGGTGTCCGAAGGAATGATGGCCCGCATCTCTGCTGGGGGAAGGGGAAGGGGGGAAGGTGCACTCAACCAAACGAACTGTGGTTGCGCGTGTAAAGGCTTTTAGAAAAGACGAATGTCTGCCTGTGACCTTTGTCGCAGTGGGAGCGACCGGGGACTCGCGCGAGGGAGTGTTTTCCTCCGCTTGTTGCTTGTCATTTAGTGTGTTCAGCAGACCATTCCCTCCTTGTGGCAAAGAAGCACTCTAGACAGACAAGTGCCTGTGTAAACTGCAAGGGACGTGCGTTGCCCGCCGCTCGCTAGTGTAGCGCTGTGCGAACTGAAACACAACAATCTTGGAACCTCGAATGTGCCGTTTCGGTTACTTTAGCATCACCGTTTTCCTTTCCGTCTTTCTTCTTGTCTTGTGTTTTTTTTACTCATCTATTTTTTTTTCTGTAATGTGAGCATTTGTACAATCATCATACCCACCTGCATTTCTGTCATATTGGCTCCATTCTGAAGCAGCTCCAGTGGCTCGAGAGCCACTGTCTCTGCTCGACAGGGCAGAGACGCCTCGCGGTGTGTTCACGGCCTCCACCCCCTGTCGACGCAAAAACGCATGTGTAGGCAGGGGCCCTCCCCTGCTGGTATCTCGCCAGTGACTGGCATGGAAGCGCCGGGCGTGGCAGACACTTGCACGCATCCACGAGTATGTTGTACGGAAATACCCGGGAAAAGTATGGTTGTGTGGACGTATGCTCCGTTTTGTAGTTTGCTTCGACCTTCCTGTGCGTTGTGCGTGTGCAGCTGTTGATGTTAGGCGTTGCTTGCAAGGTGTGCATCTGTCACTGCTGGTAACACCTGTGCTTTCGTTGCTTAAGGAGTCTAGGACGTGGAACTCTTGTACATTTTCCTTTGTTTTTGTTGCACAACCCACCTTTATTTGTCCGTGTGTTTTCCCTGTTCGCTTTAATTTCCTGTGAAAAGGGGGAAAGAAAAAGCACCTTGTGTGATGTCTCCCTCTAACTGTTACATCTCTCTTTTAGTGTGTTTGAGCTTGAATTTATAGCGTCTGCAACTCCGCCCTGTGCATTTTCATTTTTTTTTTGTTCACTGGCAAGCCGGAAGGAATCCTCCCCGTGTTTTCTTTGGGCATGCATGGTCAGACATGCAGGCTTATGAGATGTAATTTTATTGCATAATGCTCAAGTGCGACATTTGAACGCCTGTTCCACTCGCAAGGTTACACGCAAACTCTGTAAATTTTCGTTGGGTATCTTCTGCCGCGAGGGCTAGGGGTGGGGATAGGAAGACGGGGTTGTCTTTGTATAGGTTTTCCTCGCGTAATTTATTTATTTTGCACCACATTTCAAAGAGTGCCGCGGGAGCATCTGTGTCGCAGTCACCATTATCATCAGCAGTGCAACGGTGGGCAGTTAACCCTGTCCTGAAGCGTTGTGGTTACATATTTATACTCAGTAAGGAGTTGCTCTGTTTTTGTTTTTTTTCTGACGTTGGAGACCCTTTGTACATAACGAATACATGAAGTTCTGCTGATAAAAGCAAAAATGTCCGGTACCACAAAACAAACTGAGCATTTATACACCATTAGAATATTTGTTTGTTTCTTTTATTTTTGTGTTGCGGTTTAGCTTGAGGAGTTGCCAGGTGGCTGCTGCAAAGTGTTCTCATGCACTCGGCTAGTGCCATTCTGTACAGATTTGCTAGAGGCAATAAGACATGTAACGTGAATTGATAGATCATCCTAAAAAAAATATGGTGGGCCATAAAGCAAAGAAAAAAAGAAACAGTCTTTGCTCTGACACAAGTTGTACTTTCAAAAAGGTAACATTTTTGTGAAGAAGAGTGCTTCTATGTGTTGTGCAAAAAAGATCTCCAGACAGACCTTTCCTCTTGTTTCCTCGAAGTTCCGGGCAAACTAAGCAGCTTTCATTGGCCTTGTATGTGAATTAAATTTTCTCCAAAGTTTTAGCACAGCCACTGAGCACTCTAGCACAGGTTGTGCCTTTTGATATATGGTGCGCGTTTTCTGAAATTCAACCTGTGTTGCTCCGTGACATCTTTGTGAACAAATTACAGTCTGGATTCCATAGTTCCATTTCTGCATTAAAGGTGTTGCATTTGCCCACAAGTATCTGTTGCCTCGATTTTCCTGTTTGTGTTTGGGAAAACATTGTTTAATGACCTTATGAGGAAGAGGGGTCTCTCTAGGACCCAGCACAATCTTTGGCTTCCGTCGGCCACTGCGACACTGCACCATTTTTTGGTGGTTTTTATGCTTTTTTTTGTTTGTTAGCTACATTATGTAAAATTACTGGTAAAGGTAACAATCCACCACTTTCAGAGTTACTGGTCGCACCTCTGGCAACGAAGCTCGTTAATTACGGGTACCCTTGGCAACGAAGCTAGATTTGCTTAGATTTGGGGAAGTGCAGTAACCTAGATTGGAGCTCCTCAAACATTGCTTTTGTGCTCATTGTGTATTATCTTGGTTCCTCCAAGTTCTTTCAGAATAGTTGTATCGACTCCTCTTGACCAGTGCAAAAAGGTGAAAGGGAAAAAAGGTGCACATACTCTCAAACCCAAATTTCTGAAAACGGTGGATTGCCAATTCATATTGAAAAACTCGTACATCGTCAGTATTACAAGGCTTATGCTAGGCTGTTACAATTTGTTGATGCAGAATCGAGTGAATGGTAGAACTTTGAGACCTTGTTTTATGTCCTAGCTTAGTCCAGCGGGCTCTTGAGTGTGTTTGCTAGAGGCCGGGCTGCCATAAGGGAAACAAGGCTGCGTAGTATTCTCGTAGTACACAAATTGCTGTGCTATAGTGTCTAGTTTAAAGCCACCCAAGTTTTGAGCCAAATTTATTGAAGATGTTCAGCTGGCTTGAGTCTAGTGAGTTGTAAATGTTCAAGTTGATGTCAGGTAGTTTTTATTCTGAACGATTTGAATGGCCTTGTTAAACAGGGTCCTTAAATATTGAAATACGTATTTTGCATGTAGAAAAAAAAAAAAAAAAAAAAAAAAAGCTACCTGCTGGTTGTAATAATTGAAAACGAGCGCGTTCGTGAATAGTTACGAATACTTGTTAGGATAAAGCATCTAGGACGGAAACAGGACCTGTTTCTGTCCCTGACACCCTGTTGTTTAAACGTAAGTTGGAATCTGCTCAAAACGAGGGTTTGGAAGAACACCTCTTGCACAACTGTTTAGTCAATGATTTTGTTCTATTCATATCTAATACAGTACATAATTGTTCTTAACTTCAGCTCAAACCCTTGAATTTCATAGTATAAATGCAGTTTCGTAAGTTCGAAGCCCGTGAAATTGCCTAGAAAGTTTTAAAGCCCAAAGTAAATCAAAGCAGTCAACGGTTGGTATGATATGCTTATGGAGCTAGTCTCATATTTCCAAATAAATGCGTTTAATCACAAAAGAAAAAAAAAAAGGGGGGGGGGGGGGGGGGGGTCTAATGTAGAGATTTATTAAGGGAGACGTACGAAACATTTATTTCAGCTGTGCGATTTAAATCGGAACAGCAATCGAGACCTACAGCAAGTGTAGCCGGTTCAAAACTAGCGCGAGATAATGCAACAACCTGATTGGCTTTCCGTATTACTATTTCGTGCTCGTCAGTCCTTGCCTGGCATGCGGCACTCTTTGCTCTACGATTATTAATTGACATGCATTTTGTAGGGACGGCGGACGGCATTTAAGTTGTAAATATAATCTATGTAGTTAGATAGGCAACGTAACCTCTTGTGTGAAAAATCTCTCGTTCGCTAGAAAGAAAAACTGGAAAAACGAGCAGTAAAGAGTGAATGAATTTTGGTGACCCCTCCCGGCGCATTCTTGCAACAGCGAATCCAGTGACGTCAGTGACGTCACAAAACTTGATGGCCGTATGAGGCTAGGTTTAGCGGTTTTGTAGGTGTCACAGGAGCAGCCGGACTGGAATTTGATTGAGTGCGGGCCTACATGATTTGTGCATCGGAACTACGCGAGAAAGGTGTCCCAGAACCAAGAAAGTGTCCGCTGTGTCGTGCGGAAGAAGCGGTCCAGTGCAAACAAGGCGTGGTGAGTAGTTAGTCTCTCTACTGGACGACCGAAATCTGTCCACTGCCCAGCGTAGGCCTAGAGGCGCCTTTACTTGCCGTTTAGGCCCTCTTTCCAGCCCCTAAAACAGCCGAAATGCACCTCCAGTAACGGGGAATGGCCCACACCCCCAACTGCTACTTGGAGGGTGGCTTCTGAAACACGCTCGTCGTTTTCTTCTGGCAGGTGCAAAAAGTGGCGGGGTCCCATGCCCAATTTTTTGTTCTTACAAAAAGTTTTGAGTTTCTTTGTTTTTAAGTTCGAGTTGAAATACGATCAATTAATTTTGCACCGCTGTAAACGTCGTTTAAAAGAAAGCCGAGGCATCCACGTAGTCCGGTGTCTCCTAGATTGTTTACAACTTGGTCACATTGAGGAGAGCGGGACGATTGCCAAAACGGGATTGTTCTCTCGCTGCTCGCGACGCTGTTTGCACGCCAATTTCAATGCTCACGTTCACGCGGAGCCTGCTAGAGCACGCAGTTAGCGGTGCTTCATTGGCATGCAGACCACTAATGGCGAATTCCACTGGGCGTTTTGGAGCGCGCCGGGATCAGTTGACCAGATCCGGATTGGAGCACAAGATCCGAACGGGGTCGCGCCGCCTACGGATCCTCAGTGGAACATGACCACTGCTCCGGGATCGGCGGATGCTTTCCCGTCATTCAACCGCCCGGGAATCCCCTTTTCGCGGCCGCCGCGGTCGTTTCGAAGACGTTTTCGCTACGCTGCGCTAACACGTGTTCGACGCACGAGTGGCAGGAATGGCTCAGGCGCTTCTAGCAACGATTGTCGGCATGCCCGTAGCGCGGCAAATACCTTCTTTTCTCCTTCCTGGAAAACGAACCGGCTGCCGAGCCAATGGGTAAGCAAGCGGCCATTACGAATTCTTCTGATGTCGAGACAATCTAGGAGCCCAGCCCGCGACGTGCTTCTTCTTCTTCTGAGGCGAGATGGGCGAAATCACAGTAGGCGAAATCAGGCGAGATGCCCCACGAGAAAGGAAGTCACGTGTGTGCGCCGAGGGCTCCGAAATCGTTGGAGCGACTTTTCTCGTGGCGAATTCCACGGGTCGTTTTGGAGCGCGCCGGGATCGATTTTTCCGGAGCGAGCCTATTTCACGGGGCGATCGGGATCGAGACGAACTTGTTCCACTGGTAGTTTTGGATTAGCTCCCGCTCCAGATCTCGATCTGGATCCGAGAAAAGTCGCTCCCCCCGATTTTGGCGGATTCAACCGGAAGCCAGCCGGGTCAGCCTTCGGCGCACACACGTGACTTCCTTTCTCGCGGGCATCTCGCCTGATCTCGCCTCAGAAGAAATGGTAATGGCCGCTTGCTTACCCCTTGGCTCGACAGCCGGTTCGTTTTCCAGGAAGGAGAAGAGAAGAGAAGGTTTTGCCGCGCTACGGGCATTCCTGCAATCTTTGCTAGACGCTCCTGAGCCATTCCTGCCACTCGTGCGTCGAACACGTGTTAGCGCCGCGACCTCGAAAACGTTGATGCTTGGAACTTGGAACCAGCCGCTACCAGACACCTGATTTGTTTCAAAAATACCCAGGACGTTTTGGGGGAATGAATCGATCACATAGCAGGCGGTAGACAAGTAGACAGCGTTGAAAAATATTTATTCCACCGATTGTTATGAAGGCCGATGGTGTCGCAGTTTTGAAGCACTGTCGGTTCAGCTCAACACCACGTTACAAAAGACGGTTTGGGGTACTGCCGGTGCTAACGCAATTTCACAGTAGAAATAGGAATTGCATGAAAGAACCACACAGAAACACTTCATACTGTGGCGTAAATGCCGAACATGTATCAGCGATGTCACTTTCCTCGGTTAGGGCTATCTGCTTTGTCAGCGAATGAAGAACGTTTCGATACAATAAAGAGCGGAAAATACTCCCCGTGTCAAGTTTTCTAATTACAGCCACTAGTTGATGTCGTACCGTGGTAATTCCCGGCACTTCCAACGCACTAGCACTTTGTAGAGTCACATTTCCAGCGATTCCGTGCCGCATACGAACGAAGGTAAACAATCAAGATGGCGGAGTGTTCCCAGTGTTGTCCTCGCCGTCAGCGCGGTGTGACAGGGTTGTCGGACAACAAATCGGGCAACACTGTTGCCGGGCGGCAGCAACATGTTGCCCGACTGTTGTTGTTGCCGCGATGTGACAGGGTCGCCGGCAACACGACTTCCCCGTGTTGCCGGATAGATTTGTCCAACTGTCCCCTCAGTGTGACAGGACCTTTACCTCTTGGCTCGACAGCCGGTTCGTTTTCCAGGAGGGAGAAGAGAAGGTTTTGGCCGCGCTACGGGCATTCCGGCAATCTTTGCTAGAAGCTCCTGAGCCATTCCTGCCGCTCGTGCGTCGAACACGTGTCGGCGCCGCGATTGCGAAAACGTCTTCGAAACGACCGCGGCGGCCGCGGAAAGGGGATTCCCCGGCAGTCGAATGACATGAAAGCAAATGCCGATCCCGGAGCAGTGGTCATGTTCCACGGGGATCCATCGCCGGCGCGACCCCGTTCGGATTGTGAGCTCCATTCCGGATCTGGTCAACTGATCCCGGCGCGCTTCAAAACGCCCAGCGGAATTCGCCATCGGATCCAGATCAAGATCTGGAGCGGGAGCTAATCCAAAACGACCAGTGAAACATGTCGGTCGCAATCCCGATCGCCCAGTGAAATAGGCTCGCTCCAGAAAAGTCGATCCCGGCGCGCTCCAAAACGACCAGTGGAATTCGCCATAAGCTTTACTCTTTGTTGTCGCTTCGCGCATACCGGCGTTACGGTACTGGTAGTGCTCGCGAGACGACGTCGGGCGACGACGTTCGTGACGTGCGGTGTGTCATTCACTCAAACCGCTCATCCTGTTGGTTTTCACAACGCTGTAAAATGCTGCTCGAGATCTGCTTTTTTTGTTTGTGTTTGTTTTGCGAAGATGCAGCTCACAACACGCCTAGCTTTGCTGGTCTCGAGCGCTTCTTCTGCGGCGAGCTCAGCTCCTCCGAGATCGGGCGGCGTGGTAACAGCGAGCGAGAGATGCTGCGCAGGATTTTAATATCCGTCTCTAATGCGGCGTCGCTCATCGTGTAGCATGCAGCGGCCTCGCCCCGCGACCATTGTACAACTCGTCTGTGCATCTCAAACGAAGGGAGTGTCCCTTCGGCCAACAGGTTGGGGGAGTCGGAGGAGGCTTGTCCCCCTCGTAACGCCGGCGGAACGAAACGCGCCAGGGACGCGGCAGGCAGTTGGCCACAGTCGTGGAACCAGCGCCCCGGCCGTGGGCCGAATTTTACGGAAATTCTGAGCAGGAAGGGCCACCTGACGTAAGGACGACGCAAGAAAAACTGCGTTGGCGAGCGGGCGGCTCGGCCCTTCGACCGCCGCCAGCGATTTGTTATATATTTTTCGCCCGTCCCTCGCCTCGACGTTGGCGCTGCTTGCGCGTCGCGGACAGGTCCCCCGGCTTTTAAAGTTTCGCTACGCGCGCGGGCAACGCGTACCGGCCCGCGAGCGACCACGTCGCCTGCCCTAGGCCCTCCAACCGATGATGATCCCCGTGTCCGGCGGCGGCGGTGTTCTGCCGCTTCCGTGTTTCGGGCCCGCTCCGTCGTGAAGCCAACGTTGACATGCTGCATAAGGGCCTGTAGCGCTCTCGCGGCAAAGGATCTAGGTCACGGACGCGTCTTGCACGCTCGAGTGTCAAGGTGATCCGTTTTGCTGGGGCACACAGAGGTCCCCCCTCCAGCGCAATTTGCCCTGTCTCTTGCATTGCCGCTTCTGCCGGAGCGAGTGTGCGTGCTGTGCACTCGAAAGTGCGCCCCGAGGCAGTTGTATTTGGCGACCGAGGCGCCGCTAGCCTGGTAGCCCATCATAATTTCAATCAATACATCCTGATCGAAAGCTTCATTGGGAAGCCATTCATCGTACTACAGCAGGAGCCTCCGAGCCTTGTTCGTCCTAGTTCGTCCCTCCTCTGTTCACCTTCGTTGCTTCCGGCACTAATAGTAATCTCCCGCTGCCTGACGTGAACCCTGCTTTTGGGTCTGGCCTTGCAAACATCCTCATGTCTGAATCTCAATATGTGGTTGCTGTTCAAAGTTTGAAAACGTTTGTCCTCATGGCTAGATGCGAAAATGATGGTGGGGGCCATTGTCTGGGTGAAACACAATGGCCGTTTGACTGAAATATCGAGGAACAATAGACTCCCTTTCCTGTCTTTAAAACAAAGTGTCTCTCTTGCTGGTCCTGGTGCTGCCCAGTGGCACAGTTGACCAAATTTGTGTTAGTGTGTTTTGTAAATCTGGTTTAACTGATTGCCTTTTTGTCAATACTTCCCAAGCTGATTGTGCCTTTGATCCAGTTTGTACACTCACCTACCTGACAGGGTAACAATCAGAGCAGCACTTATTTCAGTTCCAGTATTACCTGGAACTTTCCCTTGCATATTTCTGGTTGGTCTTTGCAACTTCACGCTGATTTCTAGTTTTTTTTTTTCCCCTTTTACTTGTGACTTCCATCTCATTTAAACCTAAAGAGCAATCTCTCTTTTAGTTTAATGAACATGGGGCATAATTTTCTTAGACTTGTTAAACCATTTAGATATCATACACAATTACAGCCCTGCACTACACAAATAGTGATTTTGGTATTTGCATCAAAACCGCATCATAAATGTTTCATCCACATCCAATCTGCTTCTGCGATCTATATCCGTAGTTGTACTCAGATCCAATATATCATTTGCTTTTTTTGGGGCTTGAGCATCATTTTAGGGGCATATGTGCTTCTAGAACTAAATCTTCCCAATGCGACAGATCTGATACGGTAGGGTGTCGACTTGGGCGAGTTGGTTTTATGAGACGAAGGACAAGAGCAGACAGACATTCACCTTGTCAACCTTTGAAACAGTATCTGTGTCAAAAAGAATCATGAAGCCCAACTAATTTCTGAAGAAAAAGTGTATGAAGTGTCTATG